CCAATGCACTAGAATCGGAGATATCAGTCTATAAACAATCTCAATAAACATTCCTATTTGCCAGGAGATTAGTCTATAAACCTCAATAAATGTTCCTATGCACTACAATAGTTGATGTTAGTCTATAAATTACCTTTACACTAAAAACAAACTGCCTCGCCAACTAATCCAGCTAAACAGGTACTCTGTTTACTACTTTCTTCGTCCTGTGTTAAAATAAAAAGGCAGCTATTCATTAAACTGAACCCCTTAACAATCCAGGCCCGCCTAAGAATAGACCTAAGAATAGTTCAGCCAGTTTGCATTGAAGTCCCTGTAATTACTGAATAATAAAGCCTTAGTATGTAATAACTGATTGCCTTAGTATGTAATAACTAATTGCCAGAGGAACTGCCTGCAGATCAACGCAGGAAAAACCAAGGAGCTGGTGGTGGACTTCCGCAAGTCCAAACATTCTCCTCCGGTGCCTGTGAACATTGAGATTGTGAAGTCCTATAAGTACCTGGGTGTTCACCTCAACAACAAGCTGGACTGGACTGACAACACAGCTGCCCTCTACAGGAAAGGCCAGAGCAGGCTACATCTCCTGAGGAGACTCAGGTCCTTTGGCGTGCAGGGGGCACTTCTCAGGACCTTCTTCTACGCTGTGGTGGCATCAGCCATTTTTTATGGAGTGGTGTGCTGGGGTAGCAGCATCTCCATTGCTGACAGGAAGAGACTGAATAAGATCATCAGGAAGTCCAGCTCTGTCCTGGGATGTCCTCTTGACCCAGTGGAGGTGGTGGGGGACAGGAGAATGAGGACTAAACTAACAAACATGCTGAAGAACCTGTCCCACCCCATGCACCGCTCTCTGACAGCACTGAGCAGCTCCTTCAGTGCCCGGCTGCGGCACCCGCGGTGCGTGAAGGAGAGATACCGCAGGTCCTTCCTCCCAGCTGCTGTCAGACTCTATAACAGTCACGGCACTCAGTAGACAGTAGTTTACAATTACTTTCCATGTGCAAGAACTCTCAACATCACTGCCACAGCACTTTACTGTGTGCAATATCTCAACCCACCATGCGTAGTATATTCACTGCGGATCACTGTCAATATGTTTACCACCATTATGTGCAATTATGTCAAGTGCAATATTTCTCCATTTATTACTGTTTATTTATTTGCTATTTTATTCACTGTGCAATACTCACTACAATACATACATTTCTTCATTTCTAAATTTAAATTTAATACTTTGTATATTTTTCTTGTAATCTTTGTACATGCATATATCTTTATATTTTTATTGTTTATTCTATTTTATATATTGTTTGTATATTTCCTGCTGCTCTGTCTTCTGTGCTGCTGTAACACCGCAAATTTCCCCGTTGTGGGATTAATAAAGGATTATCTTATCTTAAGCCTGAAATTTTAAGGGGTTAAAATATGTTGTGTATGTTTTATTGCGAATGTCTGTTAGTTACTTTAGTTAATGTTGAAGCCCACCTACAGCTCACGGTCACCCGTCAACACAGGATTGTGGCAGTTTTGGAGGTAAACGGCTGTGATTTGGGAAATCTAGTCTATTATAGATTCACCATAAACCCTGGACAGATCAGATCATCACTTTAACAGAGTTAAAAAGTGTTGAGCTGTAATATTCAGATCATTTGGTCTGATTGTAGGAAAAACTGTAAAGTTACTGTATCTGGACCATCACTAACTTAAAAATGCATTTGCAGGAATAATTTTTTTTTTTTACAACTCTGCCACTGAATAAACAAGGAAACGCAAGAGCAGTGCAGGTGTTCAGGATAACAAACAGCTGTAACCTACCAGCATGAAATACATCATAAGATACACCAGTCATTTCATGGATCTTTGTTTGATTTTTATTAGATAACCATAAACAAGCACCATAAATGCAGTTCACTGCAGCCTTTAATGTATAAAATGCACAGTTTAGCTGTTCCTGTACTCAAAAACTGGCAATTAACAGATGAGTTGAATCAGGAGTGTTTGAGAAGGACCCCCAGGACCGGAGCTGTGCACACTTAGAGGTACTGAGAGGAACCAAGACTCAAAAGGAGAACCTCCCTAAGAACATGAGGAGAAACCACTGAGAGGAGCCAAGACTGAAAAGGAGAAACTCCCTAAGATGTGGATGAGGGAATGGCCAGCAGAGCTGAGAGTACACCAAGGCGCCGTTTTACACACGATGTACACAGCAACCCACCGTCCTCACACTTCCAACTCACTGCAGAACCCTCCTGATCACACACCTGTAAAACACACACAAACACCTACAGCCTCAGTCAGTCCCTGTACCCCATAAACACACCAACATTGTCACTAGTAAATCAAAGGAAAAGCACAGGAAATGTTAAGAAGCATATTGAAACGGGTGCTCTGACTATTACTGACACCCTGCAGGGGTCAGTGTTTCTCCTCTGTAGCATATCTGACAACTCAAAAGCTTGAGAGCTAGATGTTGAATCAAGTGTGCTTGAATCATGCGTGTTATGCTGCGTTCACATGTTTGCATTGAGAAAAAAAATGTCATTTTTACACCTCATAGTGGTACGCGGCTGACAGCAGCCTGAAGACGGAAGCCTTGAACTCAAGTCAGACTCGAGTCACAAATTTCATGACTTGACACGCGACTTGACAAAATCAAAAAAGACTGGCAACTTGACTGACTTGAACACCAATGACTCGGACTTCGACTTGAGCCTCACGACTCAGAAAGACTCGAGGCTCAAAAGTGGAAGAAACATGGAGATTCTGACTGCAGACGGGACTCTACACAGCCACTTACTGTTCATGTTCATCTGATAAACAGCAACGTCATCAGATGTCTGTCACTGTGTTTATGCTTGGCTTATTTTATTTTGGAAGACGAGAAATGTTAGAGCCCAAGTTCACCTCCATAAACTGGAAACGAGTGAAGCCTCAATAGTATCTAAGAAACTCACCAGGCGAACTGATCATTTTCCTCATCATAGCAAAACAAAAGAAACACAGCATCTCTGTTCGACCGATATAACAGCTTCTGCAGATAAAACAAGTGCAACATCCACCACAAGGCTGAAGTTGATTTGTTATTCACCAGCTTCATAATCAAATTTTCCATTCCACCTTAAATGGTGCAGCAGTGAGGTGCTAGAACAACTGGTGCACCAATTAAGAAGGAACGGAATTCAAATAAGAAGCCACTGGCGAAAAAAGTCAACTTTAGCTTCGCACATTCAGCATCATTCTACTGTCTTTTCTGTAACCTTTGTTCAGTCCGGTCATTTTGGTTTCTGTTGTCTAAATTATATTCAAACTAGTGGTTGTGTTTAGTTGACTGAGCTTGTTTTAGAGCTGTAGTTTTTATTTTGATCCTATGTGCTCAGTGTTCCCAAAAACTCTCCTAAATTATCTTCAAACATATACATTATTATTTTTTTTAATTAAGTTCAATAGTACATTATAAATTCTTTTTATGTGTAGATGCTGCTCTTTAATGTATGCCATTATGTCTGTCATGGGTATCTGTGTACCATGGATTTTGTTGGAAGGGTAAAAATAAATAAATAAATAAATAAATAAATAAATAAAAATGCAGCTACGCACCACTAACATGCTGTCATTAATAGGCTGCATTACTGTTACCACCATCACTCGTGACGTGAGTTTTAAGACTTGTTACTTGCAACTGAGCAACTTGTCCCCACCTCTGGTAAACTGTTTATTTTAAGGTGGAGAAAGGCAGGAGGCGCTCTGAACTCACTTATTTGTGTTATATAATACTGAGTTTGTCTGGAATTCAATAATGATGGAATAAACAACCGGTTTATTCCATTGCTTTAGTTGATGGCAACGCTGCCGCTGGTATGGCAGAATTTTCCGTCAAGGCTCCATTGAAAACAATGAAACATCCGGTTAGCCTTCTACCACAAACATGTGAACACAGCATTAGAACAAGTAAACACTAAACTGTGCAGAGTCATGACTGGAGTTGAGCCTGGTGAAAAGCACTTGCCAAAACAGCACCATAAACCACCACTCCAGGTTTAGCTGTAGCTTTACTCAAAGAGAGCGCTGCAAATGTATACTGTACCATGTCAGAGTAAAAGGTTTTGTGAAGGTATAGTTTCAGTCAAGGAACAATGTTAATGTACCCTCAAAAGGTACAGCAATAGTTTTACAGTCCAACTGTAAACCTTAAATAAGTTTTTTCAGGAAAAGTATGAATTTGTACTTTCAAAATCTAATGTTTAAAAACAGAATGAAATAAAAGCTTGGAGTCCAGACAGGAGGTCTGAGTCAATACAACTTCAAAAATGGAGCTGCAATAGAATATAGTGCAGTTATGTTCCCTAACTAAAAGTACTGCAGATGCAGAGGCTTTTTCAATTTAAATGGGCAGCGATGACAGTCTTGTGGTGTCATTGGTTGAAACTGCAGTTACAGATGTTTCTAGCTGGACCTTTGCAGATATTCAATATAATGCAGAGCTTACATATGTGACAGGCATCTTCCTCATAGCAATTCCATTCACCATTCCACAAGTTCGTCTGTATGGAGCGCAACATACAAAAGGTGGATCCGCCATGATCATCCCTGACTGCAGGAAGCAGTGCTACAGCAGACAGGAAAAAAGGAAAAGCAGCCTAAATCAGTGAAAAGACAGTTTTTGTTCTGTTTCAGTGAAACACCTTCAAAGAAATGCAGAGTGATCAACAGTGAGGGTAAATGTGGCTACACTATCACAGATTATAAGAGTAGACTGCAGACGCTAAATATATATACACAACGCAGTCAATAAGTAATTCACCTATTATGTTGTTGCTCTACGCCAAATATACAACCCCAATTCCAAAAAAGTTAGAACTGTATGTAAAATGCAAATAAAAACAGAAAACGGTGATTTATACATCCACTTTGACCTTTACATACACTGATCATAACATTCTGACCACCTCCTTGTTTCTACGCTCATTGTCCATTTTATCAGACCCTCACAGAGCAGGTACTATTTGGGTGGTGGGTCATTCTCAGCACTGCAGTAACACTGACGTGGTGGTGGCGTGTTAGTGTGTGTTGTGCTGGTACGAGTGGATCAGACACAGCAGTGCTGCTGGAGTTTTAAACACCTCAGTGTCACTGCTGGACTGAGAATAGTCCACCAACCAAAAATATCCAGACAACAGCGTCCTGTGGGCAGCGTCCTGTGACCACTGATGAAGGACTAGAGGATGACCAACACAAACTGTGCAGCAGCAGATGAGCTATCGTCTCTGACTTTACATCTACAAGGTGGACTGACAAGGTAGGAGTGTGGATAGTGAGTGGACAGTGTTTAAAAACTCCAGTTCCTGTAAACTGCCATTTCCTAAAGACATTTCAGTCAGTGGAACTTGCAAGCTTGAAGTGCGTTGATATCTTTTTATAGCCCTTTTTCTGCTTGGTATGCATCAGCGGAGCCCACGGCTATCGAGTGTTAGCACAAAGTTTGAAGAGTCAGGAGAGTCACGCTCTGAAATCAGCTGATAATCCCTAATAAATTTTTTTTTTTTTTCTCCCCCCAAATTTAGTTGTCTCTGATTCCACCCACTAGTTAGGTCAAACACATGAAACAACCAGCACTAGGAGGGCAAAGGCTGGTACAGGATTTCTCTGAGTCCTGTGAAGCAGCACTGCATTTTTTTGAACCATCACTAACGCCGAACACGCTCAGAGGAAACTTCCAGATCGGTTACGTCGGCTAACAGACGCCTGCACTGACTAGCATCGCGTTCAGTGATTGGAAGAAAGGGGGGGGGGGGCAATTGTGCTCTTTTGGCTGTAGCATTACCAAGGATTGAACTCACAACCTCCTGATTATAGGACTAACGTTTAGATGGTCACGCAGGAGCTGATAAGCCATTCTTGACCCACCTAACCTGCCCTAGCCAGTCTAATGACTTAACACTGAGGCTTTACAACTGGAAGGGTGTTCAAACTTCAAAGTCACAATTACTATTTTCTTTTTACTTTTATTATATCTGATTATCAATCAAATATAAAGTAACTGTGAATTCCATTTGCAGAAATAAAATATTTTTGAAATACTTTGCTGCAGAAGAATAAAATATGTAATCTGGCCAGGGGTGCCAAACATTATTTCGCCTTCGTACCTTTTAGCTCAAAAAGTGCAGGTTTGAGAAGTGTTAGTTAGTGATAAATGGGACAAATTCACTGAATGATGTTGAATGTTTTAATCCATTAAATCTATATGAGGAGAGTGTAAAATGTTCCTGTTTATCTGTGCTTTTCTGCTGTGCTTATTTGCTATAGCGGAGCTCTCTGTCTGCTTCTTGTCTAATGTATGGTAGATGTTAGCCGGCTGTAGTAGTCTTTCTATACTTCCTTCTTTGGACTAAACAGATTAGAAACACTGATTAAATGTAAGATGCATGCTCTACAGTGCCCTCTGCTGGAGTTCTGGGCTCAGTCATCTCATTGTTCTTTAATATGAGAACGTTACATCTTGGAGAGAAGCTACAACATCTCAAAAGTCATATGGCATTACAAGCTCTGTTTGCTTTATTATATAGCCAAGACTTTATTGCAGTAAAATACTTTTAAACGAGTTTACGCTACTCTACACACCCCCGCTTATGAGTCACACACTTCAGACAGCCATCAAACTGGTTGCAAAAGTTTTTTTTTTTAAAATATGTCAGTTATGTTAATTTGTGACATTACTAATGATCCCCTGAAATGGGCCGACTTTGTACACATAGGTTGCGAATGCTATACGAGTAATTTACTATACATGTACTCTAATATTAAAGCTGATATTCCTCTCTGTTTCATTCCGAATCCATTATTGCTGGAATACACAGTCAAAACAAAAATCAGCTTATGTATAGATGATACCACATCTATCTGAGATAGAAAGATTAAAAGATAAGTAGATTCTTGTCTCACCCCTTTCATTTCCAGGATACTGATGATGGTTTTGTTGAGGAACAGCTTTCTTTTAGCTCGAGTCACAGCTATGTACAGCAAATTCCACTCGTCTTCTTGAACATCTGCATAAATATATACACAAATAACCAATAAGGTTGTTAAATTGAAAAATTACTCATTTTGAAAATTGAAAAATCACTAATATTAAATGCTAAATGTGTTAGTTTAACCGTCGCCAAAACTCTCTTTGATAAAGCATTTGATATCCCTTGTAGTTATTGTCTAATACATGGCTTGGATAAGCAATACTTCACTAAGTTATCAGGTGTGCTGGTGATGGATTTGAGCAAATCCATGAAATTGCTGAGAGCTTGAAGGAAAATTCCAAACGTTTGTCAAAATAGCTCACAGCTACTTTTTTTAAAAAGAAGAAATTTGTGTTACGTTTTACTGCATTAATGTTTGTTTGAGTTTCTTCTATTGTTTTATGGTGTTTTTTTTACAAACAGGAAACAGATAAATGGTTTTAAACAGTTTGTGTAGCACTGCATGTGTAAATGTATTGGCCAAAAAAAAGATTCCTGGGTGAATATTGTTAAAAGGAGAAACATATTGGTGTATAGTTTTCTATTGTCTGTTTTCCACTGCTGTGTAAATACTTCCTTCAGTCACTGTTGTATTTTTACAAATCATCCTGAATCGCACCAACATCGAATTGCAGTGAAGTGATATTAAACTGATTTAATTAATCATTTCCTAAATAATCGGAATCAGATCGTGTTGAGGTCAAAGATATAAACATCATGCTAAACATGTCTTTCCTCAAAAAGCACAGAAGACAGAGTGTCTGTGTGTATATATATATATATATATATATATATATATATATATATATATATATATATATATATATATATATATATATATATATATATATATATGTGTGTGTGTGTGTGTGTGTGAGAGAGAGAGTGAGAGAGAGCTGCACCTCTTGGGAGTGAGACCCGCAGGGGGGATGCGGCTCTGGGCACTGTTTTGAAGTCGTCTGCCATGATGACCGTATGGAACTCGAGGCCTTTTGACTTGTGCACTGTGCCCAGGATGAAATCTACAGGAAAACAAATTTCTGCCCGTCACTCACACGAAAGCAGCATTCCAGCTTTGCATGAAATTGTGTCCAGTGCCAGTTGTTTTTGTAGCACTCAAAGAAAAAAAAATTAAGGCACCACCCACAAGTCTCTGTCTTCAAACAAATAAACACATGCACTGTAAGCCCGGATAAGTTGAATTTACTTCAAATTTTTTTTAAGGAAACCAGTTGCCTTAAAAAAAAAATGAAGTAATGTGTAATGAAAACTTGAGTTAGAATAACTATAATTTTTGAGTTAGGCTAACAAACATACGTTTGCACAACTCAAATTCTAATTATTTTAATTTAACTTCTTGAAATTGCAATTTAACTATGTTTCATTAGGCAATTGAGAATTTTTTTCTATTTAAGTGAGATTAACCACTTTGCCAAACACCAAAGGGTTAACCTCTACTGTGAACATGGTCACTGACCAACACAAACGCCCACTCATCAGCAAAGAGAATGATAACCTTCACTCTTAGCCAACAACACAACATCAGGCAGCTGAGTAAAGCATCTATAAAAAAAAAAACATTCACCTGAGGAAAAGCAGTCTGGGTGGAATGAAAGCACACTGACGGTGAGTAAAACAAAGGGAAAGAAACACTCAATATGCAAATAGACAGAGCCAGGAGCCAATGGGAAAGAAATATACATTTTATCTAATAAAACCATGTTAACAAAACAAACATGTAAATGTATTTCACAGCTTACTTAGTTTCACACATCTGTTTAGAAACTTTACTGAGAAGAACACACACACACACACACACACACACACACACACACACGCACACACACACACACACACACACACACACACACACACACACACACACACACAATTAAACCCAACAGAAATGTCGTCATTTTTTAATATGGGGTTTCAAAGTTGCCATAGCAACAGACTAAACTAAATAGCAAAAAGTTAATTCAACTCAAAAATGTCATTTGGGTGTACAAAATCATCAAAAACTTAAAATTGTTGAGCAATGGGGGATATACTGAGTTCCATGTACAACTGACAATTTATTTGAGTTAAAACAAAATGCGAGTTTACAGTGTGCCTAAAATTGTCTGTAGTACTTATAGGGCTTTATACCATTATTTCCTGGAAGTATGAAGTAAATCTGAGATGGTCGGTAAAGGGGTGTTCAGTGATTTGACATGGATTGACCTTAGAAATCCTTTTATAATCATTTGTTATATTTATTGGTGTTTATCTGTTAAAATGTGCTTTAGGGCCTGTTTGTGTGGTTTTGAGGGAAAGTACACTCATTGTAGTGGATTGGGACACTGCATTTGTCTCTGTTTGTCCCCCACCCTGCATTTGAGTAGTTTTTATGTGACTACTATTGGGCTGAACATTTCTGATTAGCAGCACTAAACAGAGAGTCTGATTCAATCAGAGGACTGTTTCAGACACGAGGGAAAGTTGCACCCATTCAGCCAAATTCCATTAGAAAACAAAACCATTACATTTTAATCCTAATAGTTGGTCTTTAATGGTCTTTTTTCAGCAGGGATGAAGATCTGCAGGTGTGAGCTAGCTGAGAGACATTTTATGATTGGTGACAGTCCAAGTCCAGTGTTAATAATGTTAACCAAGCATCTCCAGCTAACTAAAAGAAACAAACTTCAGATACCAATGATGTCTTGACTGATCGACTGTAAGTGATCAATTGTGCCAATTAGATTTTTTTGCCAAAATATTCCTTTAACATAATTACAATAATGCTGATGAAGAGGAGAATGAACAGTCTGCTTCTCTTATTTCAAACTCCTTTGTTCACCACAGCGTAAAGTGGCCATCGCTAACAAGGGACTGAAACATTGGGCAGCTGATTTGCATATTGTAACAGAGTCACACCTTAGCACTGTATACCAATCTACATGTGGGCCTGTAGACCCGACAACTATAAAAAAAGTTTAAAATAAACTTAAGCATATTAAGCATTTTAAATCAAGTCAGGATCATGAACTAAACAGAGTAACACACAGCTGTGCTCATTTCTAGCCCAAACCATTCCAAATAATTTAAATAAAACTTGATTGACATTGTGATGTCTTATAAATTTAAAAAGTTATATAGACAAACTACACCACAGCACAGAGGCTGCAGGGCAAAAAAAACAATCCTTTCCAGATCCCTTCTGGTATAATAAGAAACATAAGATGGAGCAGTCGTGGGCTGGAGGTTAGGGAACCAGCCCTGTGACCGGAAGGTCACCAGTTTGATCCCTTGAGCTGACAGTAGATGACTGAAGTGCCCTTCAGCAAGACACCTAACCCCCAACTGCTCCCCGTGCAGTGTGGATAGGGCTGCCCACCACTCCGGTGTGTGTGCTCACTGCCCCCTAGCGTGTGTTCACTAGTGTGTATGCTCAGATAGGTTAAAATGGGGAGGTGAATTTCCCCATTGTAGGATTAATAAAGGGTAACTTCACTTAAACCATTTGAGTAAGCTGTTGAACCAGTGAACACTGAGTCTGTAGAAGAAAACACTGCACTATGATCTTATCTCTCTATTTGAGCAGTTATTGCTGGAAGCATTCATATGCAGATCAGTTCAAAGATAGGTGGAGTCGGAAAACTTATTCATGTGCACTCATTTCACGACTGTGCGATTCACAAATGACTTCACTTCAATGCTGCACGCACAGATTCAAGTGTAGACTTGTTTTATAATTCCGGGGTTCTTAACCTGAGGTTCATGATGTGGAACCGGGGGGGGGTGCTTTGACAGGTGCATACAAGTTACCGAGAGAGGGTCTAGATTGACTGCTGAGCCTTGTATCAGTGACAGGCAGTGCTAGCTAAGGAGTGCAGGCCCAGTAAGTGAGCAGACTTACTTTATTATTCTTCTGTAATTTCTTGCAGTGGTGGACGAAGTACACAAAATCATGTACTGGAGTTAAAGTAGAGATACCCAAGGTAAAATATTACTGCAGTAAAAGTAGAAGTTCCTCCCTTTAGAGCTCCACTTGAGTAAAAGTACCAAAGTATTCACATTCAAATGTACTTAAGTATCGAAATTAAAAGTACTAAAAGATTAATTATGGCTCTGATGTCCTATTATCATTTCTGTAAGAAGACTCGCTTCATTAACTCATTTTAGGTGAAAATACTCCAGTGTCTCTCTTGGTAAACCAGTCTTTTAATAGAGTCATTAATTAGTGACGCTGATGTCTATTAAAATTATCATAAACACAAAACACTGAAGGCAAACAGTTTCCATCAGGTAGAACTGAGTGGCTCTGAAAATCACTTTTTACAACCAAGCAAAGTTTCAGTTTCAGATTTATTTGAACTTAGTTACAAGTTTAAGATTAATAAAAACTTTAAACTCAGATTCACAAATGAGTTTCCTTTACTAAACTGCATCTGTAGGTCTCTGTTCATAAACATAAACTAGCAAAACAAACTTACTGTAAAATGAAAGTGTTTGTATAAATTCAGAATAAAGACACATCAGTCACAACTGCATATGAGTACATATTTCTATATTGTGGTCTGTTTACACAAAGTTAGGTTAGTTCATCATTTATGTTGAATAGACTCTCCCAGAATTTTACGCTGCTGCACTGATGTTGAACCGTGTGCTGCACTGGGTCGGTATGACCAACAGGTCAAAACAAGCTCAAAACAAAGTGACCGCTGTGCCCTGATTGGTGTTCTTGCTTCGCGCTTCTTTCGTTTTGACATGTTACATTTTTATACACACATAAACCAAAAGGAACGACAGATTTCTCATAATGTAGAGGAGTAAAAAGTGAGATATTTGAGTTTGAAATGTAGTGGAGTGAAAGTCACCCAAAATGGAAGTACTTAAGTACAGATACACGACAAAACTACTTCAGTACAGTAACGAATTACATTTACTTCGTTACTGTCCACCACTGATTTCTTGAATGTGTGTGCTGGTGTGTGTGTGTGTGTGGTGTAAAAATTCAGGCTGGCAAAGATGTTGCGATATATTTTTAACCCCTACTGTGAAAAAGTTTAAGAACCCCTGCTATAAATGATTCACATGCAAATGCTGAGAATTTTTCTAGAAGTCTAGTGTGAAATTCAAGTGCGCTTCATGAATAAGGCCTCAAGGGACGTGTGTAGCAGCTAGTTCCTTTCACTCAGTTCTATACGCTCAAGTAAAATTGTGTCCAAAGCTATCCACCAGCTAGTAGACCAGAACACAGGAAACGACCAGCAGGTTGTAGCATATCAATTAACCAGCTAGCATGGCTAGCTGTCTAGCATACCCACGCAAGACTACTGCTGCCTTTAAATGAACTTTATGCTGGATAGCTCCTATTTCCACTTACAAAGTCATAATTATAAAGACTTTGCATTAAAGCGCACAGCTAACATTAGCTAGTAAGCTAGGCTGTTCTTGTTACGGGACGGCGGGGAGGCGGACGCAAGTGCAGAAATGGAAACAGAGAAAAATGGAAAAATGAGTTTATTGTGGCACTGGGTTGTGAGTTTGAAACATGCGGATGAGGCGACCCAAAGCCAGGTTCGAACCCGCGATGTACTGATCGGCACTTCGTGGCGTTACCACTGCACCACTGAGGAGCACAGGTGACTAATGGCAATAACACCTTAAGGAAGGGGGAAAAGAAAAGGCGGGAAAACGACGAACGGCAGACAAAAGAGACGCTGAGAGCAGCGTGCTCAAACAAAGGCTGAACTAGAGAGGCGAAAGGACAGATAATAGGAAAACAAAAAACACTTCCACTCCAAGAACGCCTGGTGGAGCAAACAGCTCTTCTATTTTTTTTTTTTCCTTTAAGTAGCTTTGGGACAGTTTCTTTTCTCAGCCCTCTTTTCTTTTTCTTTTTAGTTTTGGGGCAGTTTCGTTTCTTTTCTTTTCTTTTCTTTTCTGACACTAAGTACCGTACCGGTCACCCCTCTACAAAGGTGTGACAAACACCACTGTTTGCCTTGACCTTAAGTAGAGGAGTCCGTAGGTGTGTCGCGTTGGGCCTAATCAGCCCGCGGACTTCTGGGAATTGGAGTTCCCTGAAGTTATGGCCCTGTGCCGCCGTCGCCCTCTGCTGGCAGCAGGCGGCGCAGGCTGGACACCCTGCCGCCGTCGCCGTCTGCCGGCAGCAGGCGGGGCCGGCTGAACCCTTACAGTTCTCTTCTGATACCTGTCTAACACGTCGCTCTGCTGTAAATATGTACATCAACTGCGAATGCAACCTACATGTGCAGATGTAAGAAATGTCTATGGCCTAATCTGCAGGATTCTGACAGTCACGAAAATCCTGGGAAAGTCATGGAATACAGAAAATTTGGATTTTCAAGCCTGGAAAAGTTACGGAAAATATCAAGCTATGGAAAAGTCCTGAAATTTTCTGGGCTTTTCCCCTTTGTGGTTCATCATCTCCCCACATTTAAAAACACGGATGAGTCTAGCATTGCGGTCCATTTGGAAGGCAGCTGTCTATGTGGACAGCATTGTAAGGCAATCCAGAAGGCAGCATAAGGCAGCTGCCTTCTAAGGTGCCTTATTTTTGACCAAATCTGAAGGCAGCATCGCATGTATCCTTCTCAGCGAAGGCAATCCCACAATCCTGTTCACCAGCCGAGAGTTCCATCACTTCAGTTTGATGAACACACTGGACGAAGCGGCCGTTTCTGATGACCAAGAAGTTTTCAGATGCAAGTTATTTATTGACTGACTTTACTGTTTTGATTGTTGTATTTGTGTAAAGTATAACAACAGCTGCTGCAGATGTCAGAACTGTCCTTAGTCTCAGAGATGATGCACCAGCGCAATGAAAGTTATGACGTATGATGGCTCTGAAGCTCTGTCCCGAATGCGATGCCTGCTAAAGCTATGTTCACATTACAAGCCTCGTTGCTCAAATCTGATTTTTTGCTCAAATCCGATCTCTCTGACAGGATGGTTCGCACTCATTTAGGTAAGTGACTCAAATCTGTCATTAATGTGACGAACCGGTGTCCTGAAATGACCCTCATGAGCTCATCCTACTCAGTAACGTCACGGAATGAATCACGTTCATCATCAGCACAAACTAACGAGCAGAACGAGCTTCGCTGAGAAGATAATTAACCCTGATCAGATCTCAGCTTCATTATTAGAGCGAGACGAAGGAGAAAAAGGTGAGATGAGCTGCTTTTCCACTGTTTACAGTCTTTAACGTCTGTTCGGCGCTGTTGCCATGGTAACGCTGAATGATGGCGCACGTATCCGATCTAGGACCACATATGAAAGTGGCTCAGGTTGGATTTGAAAAGATCAGATTTGTGTCCACACAGCTCTGAAAACATCAGATCTGAGTCACATTAGGGCAGAAAATCAGATTTGGGCCACTTCAACCTGGTAATGTGAACACAGCCTGTGGTTCCTTTTCAGTTGAAATGCTGCCCAACAGGACAGCTGCCTTTGAAGGCAGTGACTAGTTAGGCAGCTGCCATCAGAATGGAACTATAAATTGCAAAAAACACTGCAGACTTGAGACTAAGGTTCACCGAAGTTTGGTTTAGCCAAAGTTTGTGGAAGATGTTTTGTCATTCAAACACTGGAGAAGGCAAATTAAAAAAGCAAATGAAAGGAGAAAAACACACCACTGCTGCTTCTCAAACTGACAGCAGTGTAACTTCTTCACAGCCCTTGGTCTGCATGGCAGGCTAACCAGACATCAACTGCTGCATTATGAAATGACGATCTAACTACTGAGGTACTCTCAAACTAACCTGATAAAGGTGGCATCCTGTTTCAGTGCCATGTTTAAAGTCACTGAGCTCATCAGTGCAACCCATTCAACTGCCAGTGGTTGTCTATGGAGAATGCAAGACGGTGTTTAATATTATACAGCTGTTAGCAAATAGTGCGTCTGAAACACCTAAACTCAATAATAAACATACTTTTGGCCACCTAGTGTAGTTGGTAAGTCATTCAGAACAGTCAAATCTGCACTCGTTTCTATGCAGCTATGATGAATAAGGGATAATGTGACAATGATTCAGTACAGCATGTACACAGCTTGCGTGGGGTGCATGTAATTACCTGCTTGCTGGATGTTTTTTGTTGCGCTGGCGATGATGCAGCTGACCAGATGAGGGATTTGGGTGCCGTATTTCTTCACTACAGTCAGTTTATAGGTCAGGTCCTCATCCTCACTCTCAGTGGCATAGCGTTGCAAAGCCTCAAAGCCTCCATGTCTGCTGAAGTGCTGAATGAAGGGATTACGGAATTCTGTGTAAGAGAGAAGACACAGACACACACACACACAAACATGCAAACACATTGCTTTTCAAAAGTGTATAATCATATGTCATTAATATTTTTGTTGATTTAGTGTCAAAAATAAATTATAGAAAAGCTTACAGAATTTAGATTTAAATATTATAAACTGTACACCAAAATATTTTATATGCTTTATATGATACTTTTAGTGAAAAAAAGTGAATAAATTCATATACTGCCTCAAGATCACATCTTGGAAACATGAGACATTCTAGATGTAAATTTTGTTAGAGCTTCATTCTGGATGTAAGTTTTGTTAGAGCTTCATTCTGGATGTAAGTTTTGTTAGAGCTTCATTCTGGATGTAAGTTTTGTTAGAACTTCATTCTGGATGTAAGTTTTGTTAGAACTTCATTCTGGATGTAAGTTTTGTTAGAACTTCATTCTGGATGTAAGTTTTGTTAGAGCTTCATTCTGGATGTAAGTTTTGTTAGAAATTTTGTTACTTTATGTATTCATTAAAAACATTGTTTCTGAACTTTTAAAGAACAATTTCAAACTTTGAACAGTAGGGGAAGAGGAAATTTATCACTCAAAAAAAACAAATCCACAAAACCAATTTACATACTTTACATACAGAAACAGAGTGTAACAGATACTGAGACCTTTCCTATTCCGGTTTTCCCAAGATTGTGAGTAGCCCACGTATTCCCATTGTCTCCTTGATTTTAGAGTCCAAATGTCTTCAATGTCTTTCAGCTTAAGCTTTAGAACTCCCTATAATACATGGCACATTTACACACACATACAGAGTCCATATCAGCAATGAGTAAACAAAAGAAAAGTTTAGCACTTTTTTCGAACAGCAACTGCATTTTGTGTAAAAGGGCATTTTTTTCTTCATGGCAGTAGTTGTGGGACACTTGCCTCTACAGGTACTAGAGGTTGCACAGAATATACGACTTTACTGCTCAGCGATGACGCTTTGTCAACTAGTTGTTGATCACATGATTATGACACTAACAACATGGACAGGGTCCATATCTCCTGGTTCCTGATGGCTACGCAATGTGATCCAGGGCTCGTTGGAAAGGGCATATCATGTTCTATTGACCTGTGGAGTTTGGCTTTGTTCTACCATTTCTCCTCCGATCTACAGAATTTCAAAGTCAGATATTGAACATTGTTATCTCCGGTGTCCTGAAGGCTACAATAAAAAGCCACGTGTCATTGGAGAGGGGCATAACGCTCTATATTCCTGTACGTTTTAAAGTCACATCACTCTCTACTGACCTTTGAAGTTTGGCTTCATCACAGATTTTTAAAGTTGGATTTTTAAAGTATTCCCTTCTCCTGTGGTTTTTACTAAACTGGGAAAATCTCCTTTTAGCTACAGAGCACCAGTAAGCTGGAATTCATTACAGGAATCTCTAAAGATTCGCTCGCTGGAGTCACATGAACAGCCTAACCACCTCCAATCAGCCAGACACTGTTTTACCTGATTTTTATAAAGTTTTAAATTGATTTTTGGTTTGTTTTTAGTTATTGTTATTTATTATTGTGTACTTATTTTAATGTTGCCAAGCTATTATATTACATCTTTTATTTCTTTATTTATTTCATTAATTATTTTTTGTTTTTTATTTTTTTTTGTATGTTTCCTGTTTTTTCCACTCTATCTTGCAAGTCTCCTGCTTTTTTTTTACATTATTAATTAGTTGTTGCATATTACTGGCAAAGGATTACAACCACTGTCTTTTGGAGGCTACTTTTTTCTCTTATCGGATTCATGAGACACCTGGAAAAGATCAATCAGCGGACCAAGCAGTGTGTCTCAAATAAAGTAATAATAAGTAATAAGCAAGTAATAGTTTTGAGAGATTTTAATATCTACCTTGACAAACCACAGGATCCATTAAGGTATTTGTATTTATCTTAGACTCTGTAGGTTTCACTCAAAATATAAAAGGGGCCCACTCATTATTGCAACCGCACTCTTGACTTAATTTTGACCTTTGGTGTAAACACCGATCATTTAGCCATTTTCCCCCAGAGCACAGCAGTCTCAGACCGCTGCCTAATCTCATATGAAATTCACTTTAGTTGTAATATATGTTTATCATCATGCTATTGAGTTAAGCAGACTATAACATCCTCCTCCACAGCTGGTTGCTTTATCAGAAACCTCCCAGAACTATCGGCTCTCCATCTGAATTAGATATTATGGCCGAGTGCTTAAAGGATATTTTCGTTCTGCTCTAGATAATGTGGCTCTTTTAAAAAGTAAAAGAATATGGGAGGGAAAAGCTCGCTGCATGGTACAATGATCATACCTGTGATAATGTAAGCCACTCCTTACACATCACAGAGTAAAGACTGATTGTATACACCTCTTCTTACCTGTGGACTGATCATCCTCGCCTTTAAGGACTGAAAAGAGAACTGAGTGGGTTCTCCTGAGTTTTACTTACCTGGATGAGTCCATCCTCTGTAGTAGAGGAAGAAAAAACAAAGCTTGTAAGAGAGGAAATTGTGTTTAATAAGTGTGCACTGTAATTGCAAATGAATGTTAATGATGTCATGAATGTGAATATGAACAGTAAGTAGAAAATATGAATTATAATTATGGCTGTATGTAAACATATTTAAATATTCAGAGCTCTTGTAATACCTGAGGCCAGTAATGGTTTATTCTAGGGGAGGAGCTTCCTAAGCAGCATTACTGGGGGTACAAGGAGATCCTTCCAGCCCCGTAGTTGACTGAATGGTAATGAGTGTTTCTGATCTGTATGACTTTGCAGTTATTGATCTATGTCCTCTAGTAGTGGAGACTGTTATTCCTCATTTTGCTTTTGTTTTGAGTATGTACGCGTGTAAATATGTAAATAGCTGTGAATGTTGGTGTGTAAATAAAAGTGACGGGGAGAAGAAGAACTCTTGTGGAAGCCTAACTTTTTCCAGGTCCTCAGGCCAATCACCTGACACTACCCATAGTGGGCCCCCTACTACAGCACACTGCCAGGTCGAGGGACACGCTTTATCACAATACCCAAGCTTTAAAACAGAAGAACAGCTCTTTCCTGGTTCAGAACTTACCTGGCTGATCACTATCAGTTTGTAGTTCTCCTATGTTCCCTCCTCTTGAAATTGCAATGGGTTTCCCTGCACTCTCCTGTGTGTGTGTGTGTGTGTGTGTGTGTGTTTGTGTGTGTGTGTGTGTGTATTTATCTGTCCTCACTGTCCCTAGGTGGAGCTCTATTCAGGCTGGAGGCTGGTGTGAGCTGTGGGAGAAGTACTTCCAGGGGAATACCATAAAAGAAGCAGGAATCTACCTTACTGTTGTTATTTTGTGCCCTGTGTGTGTTTTGAGTCTGCAGACTCTTCTTTGGCAAACATGTGCTTTGAAAAGCGTAAAGTGATTATAGAAAGACAACTATGCAATGCTAGAAGGAGTAAGTTGACTTGTTTCTTTTGTCACAACTGCTGGAAAGGGGTAATAAGCACGGTTTTGTTTGTAGACTCCCTATTTCTCCTGGTTTTAGGCTAGTTAGGCAGTCAGGGAAGTTGACTGTGTTTTCTTTGTTTTGGTTGAGGTTGAGGTAAGTTAGATTTGAGTTGGGAGTTAGTGTTGGGTTTTGTTTGTTATTTTGGCCTTTGCTTACCCCTGGAGAGATGGCAGATCGGTTGACCTTCTGCTAACAATTATTGGCTGTATCAATTCTATCATTGTTCTAAATATATGTAAATAGTCTGAAGGTAGACCGTTGTGTGGTGTGGGTTTCTTTTTGTCTCTTCACTTGCCCCCAGATTCATTACACCCTAGACCAACATGTAACAGTGATTGTAAATCCTCTGTTTGTACAAAAGTAAAGTACAGTGTTCCAAACCTGATGATAAACTCCAGCTTAATAAGATTGAGGACTGTGTAAAAGACATAAAAGACTGGATGTTGAGTAACTTTCTTCTACTTAACTCAGACAAAACAGAGGTTCTTCTCCTTGTGCCAAAACTTGCTAGAAATGGTGTCTCAGCTGCATCAGGTTCATCTGGTGTCACAATAGTTCCTGATCTGTTCTTCGACACACATATAACTAATATTACTAGAACAGCCTTCCTGAATCTCTGCAATATTCAATATTCATTCTATTAGTCAGCTGCACTATATACACAGGTACCTCCCCAATATAGATGACACAAACAGCAAGAGAGCCTCACTAAAACTGCTATGAACAGGTCTATGAATACCAAGTTAAATCTAAAGCCATTGGCAGATTTCTGGACAGCATTCACACTGGTCTGTATGCATGAGTGATGAATGAGTGTAGCTATTATAACATTCAGCACATGGCAAACCTGTGCTCTAATAGTTATATATTTTGCTATTTATTTATGCTTATTTGTATCAAATAACAACAACAACAACAATAATAATGATAACTTGCAGCCCAGAAAACCTTGTAGCCTGGAAAGAGTCGCAGGGGAAGGTCCTTTCAGCCTGGTAGGCTTGTAGCTGCAATGGTACCGTCGCTCAATCTACATTTCTTTTCACCAAAAAGCCTTTCAGAACAAGACATGGGGCTAATCGCTGAACCAGGAAAAATCATGCTATCATTAAGAAGTTATTCCAGAATTTTGTAGGTAGCAAGTAAACATGATATTTTATAAAGGTGTTGACAACCAGTACTCCACAAACAAAAGTTTGTCGCGTAAGATGCACTAAATAGTCAATATGCATGTCAGTTAAATGGCTCTTTCCTATCGGAGATGACGGTTCTCTAAACCTACACGGTCTTAAATATGAGCCTGTATTTCAGCACAGTTCCACACAGCTTGCAGAGGAATTGGTTTAATCTCATGTAGTATTTCCACACTAATAAATTCCTCTGGTCTTTGTGTTTAGCAAAAAAAAAGATTTCTGTTCTCCCCTCTTGCCTCTTCACTGCAGTTTTTACTGCCGCTGTGTTTCAGGCACTGTCCACGACTAGTCAACATCTGCCCACAGTGCCCACTAGTGGAATTATTAGTCGACTAGTCTGTGCAACCCCTAGCATGTTCCTGTTTATTACCTATAAATGAAACAGAATCAATGACTCACTGTGTTTTTACTGATTCTTACCATTTACTTCAGAATCTTTGTGCGTCATTTTGTATCTGCTACATGGAGGTGATTCTGATTTACTTTCCTGCTTAAACGTTTGACAGTGCAGAGAAATTTAGTACTTACCACCTTGTTATTCCAAATATTTATGATATATTTTATGATAGGTTTTTTATCTGATTAATAGCTAGATTAATTCAATAGTTAAATGTTAACAATATTTTTACCCAAAACATTAACACAGTTAATACAGTACAGTGGAGACATTGTGTGTACAACACACTTACTCTGTAAATATCTAGAACCTGTTTTGCATTTCACTGTGATTTGAAAAAGCTGTCTTGATACTTATCATCATTAATCTTATAGTTACCAATATTATTATGTGCATTAATCTACTATTAGCGTATAGTAACTCAGGGTCTATAAAAGACAGGATAAATGTCCTATGCATCATGACAATATGTGCGTGAGTCTGTGTGTAAGGAGTGAGAGGGAGGTTTGATGTCAAAGAGTATGAGCTTGAAAATATTTGGAAAAAACTGCCTTATGGAAACCAACAAAACAATTTGCTTGATGTTCTGTCATTAGTGAGACATTTGATCCCCAAAAATAAAGCTAAGCAAAGTACATGCTGACACACTCTTTCTAACAATGTGGATTCAGAACAATGTCCTTAGAAGCACACTCACCCCAATAAAGTGAATTTTGCACTCTGGGTTTGCTTGGACAAGCCGAGCTGCTTCGCTGAACACAGTGACATTCTTACGACACAAAACAGCGATTCTTCCATCTCCCTTCCCTGATCCTGACCTTAGGCTGTCCACCACCTCACTGTCATCACCACACACACTGCCTATATACAGACACATACATAAGATGATAGGCTTTACACACATACATATACTATGGCCAAAAGTATGTGGACACACCCCTTTATTATTAAGTTCAGGTGTTCCAGACCTATTCATTGCTAACAGGTGTATAACATTAAGCACATAGCCTTGCAGTCTCCATAGACAAACACTGGCAGTAGAGGGTCATACTGATGAGCTCAGTGACTTTAAACATGGCTCTGTCATAGGCAGTGACTCTGCCACAAGTCAGTTTGTGACATTTCTGTCCTGCTAGATCTGCCCCTGACAAACTATCTCTGGAAGCAACATCAGCACAAGAACTGTGCATCATTAGCTTCATGAAATGGGTTTCTGACCTTAAACACTGAAGGATGAACTAGAACATTGATTACGAGCTATGTCTTACTGGGAGTGGAAGCTGTTACAGTCGCATGGGGTGCAACTCCATATTAATGCCCATGGTTTTGGAATGGGATGTCCAACAATCTTATATAGATGTGAGGGTCAGGTGTCCACAGTCTTTTGGCCAGATTCTTTTAGTGTACATATGTACAAACACACATACATTGTGAATCATTGCTTATGAATAAATGACTGGATGGATGACTTTGTTGATATTCATTTCTCACCATCTTGTTCTGCTCCCAATAAACTCCTCTTTACTTTTTTACATGCGTCCAGGACCGCAGTTCCAGTGTAAGCAATCTCAGAGCCAAACCTGAAACTCTACACACACACACACACACATACACACACACACATTAAGACTGCTTGTGTATACATGTGTTTATGAACACTATTATACAAAAAAATAATGTACAAAAATCGGACGTCCTTCATTTGTTTAGTTCAATTATAGTCAAAACAGCCATTACAAGGTGCAATCAAAAGTTCTATGACTGTTCCTGTTTCAAACGAATGGAGCGTGAGTGACAACTTTCATGAGTCAGTATTTTGCATCACGTCACGTGGGACCTGCATAACATGAGTTTTTGTGACCACTTGCAGGTCAGCATTTGAGATTTCACCATGGACCTCAAACTTGAGCATGTCAAACTCAACGGAGTGATGGCAAAATGGCAACGGAGACCCTTGAAATACTTCAGAAAGCCCATGGCAAAGAAGCAATGAGCCGTTTGAGGTGTTTTGAGTGACATTTGAATTTCAAGAGGGGCAAAAACTAGAGGATGACTGACTCCCAAGCAGAAGCAGCGCCGTGTTGAAGTCTGCGAGGATCCCTGTCAACTCTGAACTTTTTGATCAGACTTCGTACATTCCATTTCTCAGTGGATATTTCTGAAGAGATTAGATATAAGGTAATCCTCTTGGAAAAAATTAAAAGAAAATAAGTGAACAAATAGGTGTTTCCAAAACTGGAGTTAATTAAAAAAAACCCAAACAATTAAATGAGACCTGGTAGACCACCATCATTGTCCCCATCTCATAAACAGCACGCAAAGCTTTCAACTTTGAGAGATCAAGCAGAAATCAAGTTACACTCATTTGCACAGTGCTGTATATGTGTGTGTTTTACCTGTGTAAGGTAGTACAGGTGTGTATGTGAAATGGTGTGTAGGGCATTGACAGCTCCTTTGAAAGCATAGATCTGCTGGTGAGGATCTCCAACGAATATCTTTGCACAAGGCTGAGAAAGCCAAATGTCCATGATAACTAAAACACACACACACACACACACACACACATCCATAACAAACACAGAACACAAACAATCTGAGTTATTACAGTCTCAATTTAGCTTGGAGATCAAACTCTTGAGATGTAAGTAAATGAAAACTGAACAAGGACCTCAGGTAAAGGCAGCCCTAAAATAAGGACAAACGCAAATGGTACAGACAACAAATATTAAGACATGAAAAACACAGTCTGTCTTGCCCTGTGTGGGCAACTAGGGATCCCTGCATTATGCATTGAATGCCCCTCATAAGAACAGCTCCTGACATTCCTTCAGCAAGCTGCCTAAAAATTCCCTGTTCAAGGAGCTGTCTAAGATGACTCGAGCAAAGGACCCAAGACAACCCTGATTGGTCATACCATTCCCAATACATCAGGCACTGGAGTCTGCCCTGCACTCAGTGGTAGTCCAGCTGGTGACATGTTGGCTGTTTTTTCTCCAAAGGATGCTCAGGATTGGGGAGACCTACACTGTCAGAAATACAGGTCCTGTAGAGGTACATTTTTCATTCATCAAGGCACAAACAATGTAAATGTTCCCTAAAAGATACACCAGTGACTTTAAGGTTCAGTTGTGTTTTCCCAGAGGTAAGGTACATATTTATTCTTTTCATAACCGAATGTTTTAAATAGAACAGTAAAATAAAAGCCTGGAGACGAGACGGGGTGTGTGGAGTCAGTACAGCTTAGAACATATCATTTCAGTGGATTATGGTTCAGTTATGTTCCCTGACTAAAGGTACTGAGATGGAGCCTCGAAGGTTCCACCCTAGTGACAAGAGGGGAACTGACCCAGAGACAGATTAGTACCATGTATTCTGACAGTGTAGAGGCTGAGACAACTGAAGACAACAGGTTCAAGGCTGAATCCCTGACTGAATCCTGTTATAGTCTCAGGAGTCAACAGTAAATTGGATCACTCTTTCGCTGCACCTTGAAGGGCCCAATATAACACCATCTCTAACTCCACACACAGGCCAAGATCCTTGAGCTGCTAACAAGAAGAGGTTTGCATTGTGTGTATGTTGTCCCAAAAATGGACAACAAAGTGAATAAGTATCTGCCTCAGGATATAATTTACGAATGCCTTGACAGCTGGACTATCAACCGATCTTAATGGCAGGATTGGGTACTCATATTGGCCAGTGGGGATACTGAATGCGGTCTTCCACTCATCCTCTTTCCAGATGTGGATGAGACTGTGTGGACATGACAGTTCCAGCATGCTGTAAATACTTATCCACCTGGACAAGTCAAACCTGTGACTATGGAAAGTTAATCTAACTAGGAATTAATCTCTTATTCTATGGATGAGTATGCTACTTAGGGGGGCTCTACCAGTTAAGATGATCTTTACACGAAGATGCATTTGGACCCTGACCAGTACCCAGCAATCTGTTATCCAAGGTCATGATGTTTAATAGGCCATCAAGGCTACTGAAAGAGATTTTGAGTCATCTGGCAAGCCTGAGGTCAATGAAATTGTCTGCAGCACCTCAGTCAATAAATGTCTGCAGATAGTGCTGTTGATTATTCCAGGAACAGGTGACCACATCTTCTTTCCAGATGTGGCCGAGACTGTGTGCACACCACACATGGAGACCAGGCATTTGGAAGATAAACTAAATCTCATTACAGGCCTGCCCCTGGATGTCCCTGTACCTGCAGACATGTTAGTTTTTCTCAATTGCTGTGGTGCAGTTCTGGGCAGCTTACACAACAGCACTTGGGCTCATTAGGGCAAAACCGAGCTGATCAGTATCTGCTGGGTCCATGCTTCTTAGTTTCACCATAATTGAGGGATGCCCCAAGCCAAGGACCAACTCTCTTCAGATCTTCAGATTCTAACTCCTAACCACCAGTCAATGAATAAAATGGGGACAGGATTGAGGTAGTAAGTGTAACTAAATAAAAACAAATGTGCTGATAAGCAAAACCTCAGGCAGTACAGATAAAAAATTACACCTGCAAGTAGTTGTCCAGTACATTGAGTTATTTAGTGAATCAGTGAATCGTTATGTTTAGGCGAGTTGTTTAGTACCTGGAGAACAGTCCTGAGCTTCATCAATCATGATGATATCATACTGTTTCAAAATGGGCTTCTGGAGCTGCCACAGTTTAAGGTAGCCTAGAAACACAAATGATTATTAGACACATCAATCTGTGGATACACATTACACAAATAAACAATATTATCATGCTTTTTGTCAATATGTCTTATAATAACAAAAATTATTGCTTAAAGAAGGGTGATGGGCAGTAATGTTGTTTGCCATAATAGTTAGAAGAGTCCCCTTCTTACACTGAATAATTTCACATCCAGCTTTTAAGTTTTTACGAGATATTTTGTAGACACCTGCTCATCTGTTGTTTTATCTCTAACACTCGCTTTATGTTGAGTGTCCTTTAAGATGAAACAAACACTCAACAGACTCTCAGTAACATGTCAAAAACATTCGAGAGTTAGGATTAGGTTTGGGTTGAGGTTAAAGTTAGGTTTAGGATTGGAGCCAGGGTGAGGGTTAGGATTAGGCTTGGGTTGAGGTTCAAATTGGGGTTAGGATTACGGCCAGGGTGGAGGTCAGGATTAGGTTTTTGGGTTGAGTTTAAGGTCAAGGTTAGGATTAGGTCCAGTGTGAGGGTTAGGTGTTGGGTAAGGTTGGGTTTTGCATAATAGAAGTAACATATTAACAAAACATCTACTTAATGTAAGTAATGTATCAACAGAACATCTAAAAGATATTTACTTCAGTGTATTCAGATGCTTCACTACTGCTACTTCACTGATATGTTGTTCATGTGTTATTGATATTCTGTTGAGTTTATTAATCATCTACAAAGGACCACTCCAAATAAAGTGTTATCATAACCTCTAAAAAAGTAAAGTCTCTACTCTTCTGGGAAAGCTTTAACTAGATATTGTAACATTGCAGTGAGGATTTGATTGCATTCAGCCTAAGTGAGATCAGGTTATAAAGGTAATAAGTTACTTAAAAATGTATTTAAAAATGACAGTATTTCAAAATGATGATGATATATCAAGTTTCTGTTTCACATCTATCTAGTAAATGGCCTAATAAACACATTCCGCACACTCACATTTTATTTGGGCTGGATGAACCAGTCTGCAAAATTTGCTTGAAAACAATCAAACCCAGAGATGGAAACACATCCCATCACAGATGTCAACTTTAAAGGCTTCTTTTCCACTAGTTGTATGGTGCTAGTTATGGTTTCTTTTTCCAGCTGACATGCTGCTAAATTAAGATCAGGAAATACCTCAGAAAAACTATGCAGGACAGTGGCTCAGCAATTGCTAACAGCTACACTAGCCATCAAACATGTTCGACTTCACTCTCTCAGATTATCACCTAAACTTGTGTCAGTACTTTATTTAGCCAGAATTTAACATGCTCTGTGGTTAGCATGTTACGAAGCTAGCTAAGCTAATGCTGCACTGCATTTACTTATTGAGTGACCATGTAAGCAAACTGCATGTTTTATTTAATTGTTTTTACAATAAGAAGATGTTAAAAAATTAGACGCCACCCAACTCTAGTACTGATGTTGAATGATTAGTTCTTGATCACAAATGCCACTCCAACTCATCCCAAAGGTATGGTTTTGAGCAGTAATGATGTCTGAAGCCAGAGATGTATTATTCAGCAGGGAGGGAGCCAAGGCAGAGAGTTGAGGAACAAAGTGGAGTGTTCTCAGTTGTGGCCATACACACTACAGAAAGCAGAAGATGGTGGGACAGTGGTGGTGGAGCACATTATGCATGTGTGCAAAGGTGTGTTTGTGTGTGTGTGTACCATCATGTGTGATGCAGTAAGCATGATGTTCACGTGGCTCCTCCTTGATTATTTTGCTCCAAACATCCTTTGCTATGTTGACAAATTCCTGGTGGGGGAAACACAAAATACCCCTAGGTTTGTATACTTTTATAATATAAATGACCTGAAATTGTACCAAAAGTCATAAAAATGAAGCAATAAACAACGAGAGTGTCATGTTGTCTCCTCCCTCTGAGGAGACTGCACTTGGGTGTTGTTCACAAAGCACGTAAAAGTGGCTCAAATTCGATCTTTTTCTTCGTATGTGCCACAGAGGTGTGTCTGTGTGGCAGTGTGAACAGATAAACACACTGAATCTGACATTTTCAATTCTGATTTCAGACGCTTTGATATGTGGTACTGAAATCCAATATGTTTCCGATCAGCGGCAATGCGACTCAGTCTGAACAGCCAGATCGGAATTCATGCGACTTTTACATCAATCCAACATGCCATTTGTCATATTTTCATGCTGCTGAGACTCAAAAAAAAAGTAAAAAAAAATAGAAGGCACTTATCGCAACCACTCAATGGTCGAAAGAAATGTCCAAACACGCCGCAGGAGAACGAGGCTGCAGCGTCAAAGAACAGTTAAAAGTCTGAAAGCTTAAAGTTTAAAGAATCCGAGGACGCGAACCAAAGAAGTGACCGCGCCCTTTTTACGGCTCGAACACATTCTGGGTGATGAGCCCAGCTGTCAGTCAGTGAAGCTTCATGATGGCTCCTGTGATGCTGGTGAAGATGAAGCTGATCCTCTGGGAGCGACTGGCGCTCGTTGGCAGTCGTGATTGTTTACCTCTGGATGAGGCGTGAAGCAGCGTGACGCTCTGTTCTTCTGTGCAAGCGGCTCAGTTTAGGAGCTGATCTGTTCAGACTGATGCAGCATACAGATCACATTTAAAAGATACTGTGAACAGCCAAACAAACAAATCAGATTTGGTGAGCAAATCAGATTCAGGCCACTTTTACCTGCTGTGTAAACGTAGGCTTGCATAACACCTGCATGTGATTGCATGACTAATTTTTCTCTTTTATAAACGCTTTTATTTGGTTTAATTTTGCAAAGTTTCTGTATTGATGACCTGAGTTCTGGGCTTGCTTTCTTTGTATTGGTTTTTCACTGTTTTTGACACCTACCTGTCTTTCTGGAATTTGACTATGGATATACTTCTTATGTTTTCTGCTTGTGTTTTGACCCCTGCCTGTATGCATTATGAGAGTTGGCCATGCACAATATAAAGACACACTTGTAACCTTCACTACAGAGAGGCTGTGCGTCACAGTGATTTTATTATGGGGAAGGGTATTATTAGGCACGAGGTGAAGTGGAGTAAAATCTAAAGTAAAACTAACTTTTTGTCATTGTCATGCCTCCTGTTGGCATAGCAGAGACTAACTCTCCTCACTCCATTCAGAACTCCAACTCCTGGAATCCTCTGGGGGAACACATGACCACAAACTCTCAACATTCCATCTATCTACGCTCTTGTTCACCTGATTATTGATTGTTGACACCTGTTGTAATGACTATACAGACATGTTTGAGGTATTGTATCAGCCCTCTGTGCATTACCAAGCCTTTGTTTTTGTGTTAGACTTCCCGGTTTGTTTTTCTGCTTGTTTTCTCATTTACGATTTTAGCCTGACCCCTTTTTGGACTCTGTTTGCTCTTCCATGTTTTTGACGTAGTGCTATTGTTCTCCCGTTCTGATTTAGTCTAGCCCTTATTGCTCTTTTTGCCAATGTGACTATTCCCAAAGCCGTCACAGTCATATAATAATGAACATAATAAAGCAGTGTTTAATGCAAACACTTTCACTTTATAAATATTTTTGCTCACCAGATCAGCAGATTTATTTATTTCTCCTCCACCCATCCAGACACACTGACCAGTGATTATCTTAGTACTCTTTCATTCATATCCATGACTGTTGATTGGACAGATTTGATGCTGATTGGCAGCTGTATCAGATGCCTTTGACTTGAAGAACCAGGTACTTATAGCAAAATGTTTATAAGAGGAGCTAAAAAAAATTCCTTACAAAATCTGACTTTTAATTAAAAAATTCCCAAAACAATGGGATTTTTTTAGTTTACTATCTGTTGACTCCCATATTAACATTAGGCTGACTGAAGTCTTCTTTAGTAGTGATGTAGCTCGAGAGTGAAATTCAATAAATTAATAATAAAGACAACTCAGCCAAGAAAAGGAGAAGAAAGAGAGAACTGTAAGCGAGTGTGCCTTGTGAAAGTAATCACCCCCTTTAGTGTTTTTCCTGTTTTGTTGCATTACAACCTGAAATTAAAACTGATTTTTATTTAGGTTGAATGTAATTGATATAACAAAATAGTGCAAATTGTTGAAGTGGAATGACAAAAAATACCTTGTTTAAAAAAAACTAACTGAAAAGTTGTGAGTGCACATGCAGTCACCCTCTTTGCTATTAAACCCCTAAATAACATCCCATATATTGTTATAATCCATTATAACAAAATGGAAAGAATATGGCACCGCTACAAACCTGACAAGAGAAGGCTGCCCAGCAAAACTCACAGACCGGGCAAGAATGGAATTAAACACAGATTCAACAACGACACCAAAGATACACTATATGGATGAAAATATTGGGACCCTCTTAATCTTTGAATTCAGGTTGTTTCATTCAGTCTCATTTAGTCTCATGAGCCCTAAAGAGCTCACTGAATTCGAGCGTGATGCTGTAATAGGAAGTCACCGTTACAAGTCAGTTCATGAAATTTCCTCCTCCCAGATATTCCACAATCAGCTGTGAGTGTATTATTGAAAAGTGGAAGCGTTTAGGAACCACAGTAACTCAGCCATGAAGTGTCAGACCACGTAAAGTTACAGAGCGGGTCGCTGACTGCTGAGGAGCACAGAGCATATAAGTCTCCAACACTCTGCTGGATGGAGTGGAGTAAAGTGCCGCCACTGGACTCTGGAGCAGTGGAGCAGTGGAAACAACCCCATACAACACCTTTGGGATGAACTAGAGCAGAAATTGTGAGCCAGACCCTCTCGTCCAACATCAGTGTCTGACCTCACAAATGCTCTTCTGGATGAATGGGCAGAAATTTCCAAAGTCACTCTCCAAAATCTTGTAGAAGCTTCCCAGAAGAGTGGAAGCTGTTAGAGCTGCAAAGGGGGACCAACTCCATATTTGTCACGGATTCTCCCTTTGTCCCTCTCAGTGTGTCTTTCGCCCCCTCTATGGTAGCCATGTGTGTTTTTGTTTTCTTGTGACATGTGCTTTTTGTTGTTGTTCTGTGTCTCCTCCCTGGTCCTGCCCCCTTGTTATCTGTTCCACCTGCCTGTAGCTCCGCCCCTCATTAGTCCCAGGTGTGTCTCATTTCCCCTCTGTGTATTTATACCCCTGTGTTTGTTCAGTCTTTGTCTTGCATTCTGTAACGTTTGAGGCATGGAGGCGGGATGCAAATGCGAGTTTTTATTGAAGTCCATAACGAAAACAAAACCAAACTACAAGCGCGACAAGCAAACAAGAGACAAGATTACATTCACAGAGTAACATCCACAATGCAAGACAAAGACTGAACAAACACAGGGGTATAAATACACAGAGGGGAAATGAGACACACCTGGGACTAATGAGGGGCGGAGCTACAGGCAGGTGGAACAGATAACAAGGGGGCAGGACCAGGGAGGAGACACAGAACAACAACAAAAAGCACATGTCACAAGAAAACAAAAACACACATGGCTACCATAGAGGGGGCGAAAGACACACTGAGAGGGACAAAGGGAGAATCCGTGACAATATTAATGCTTATGGATTTAGAATGGGATTCATAAAAGCTCCTGTAGGTGTGATGTGTAGGTGTCCCAATACTTTAGTCTATATAGTGTAACGCTGAAGGAGCTGCAAAGGTCTAAACGAGCTATTCTTAAGTTATAGAAGCAGGGCCTGCTGGCGGGTCCTGGCCATTTAAGGGGTTAAAGCGCCCCTGCATGCTGGGGCTGAATCTTAGATGGCTCCCTACTCCCTACATAGTGCACTATGTAGGAATTAAAATACTGCCTCCTGCACTCAAACAGCACCAAATACATTCAGTAAATGGTCATCTGTGATTCAGCCACATCCACACTGGACAAATAGTGCACTCTTTAGATGTAGAGGCCAGAAATTCCAAACTTACACAGCATTCTATATGTGAAGAAGGGAGCCGATTGAGACTCAGACTGGGTTTAATGCTGCTTAAGGCAGATCTGACTTAAACACAAATATTGGAAGTGTATTAGACATTCTTTTCTTTTAATATTGCAGTTTTACAGTGAATCATTTAGTAAGTACTTTAATTCTTTAATTCTTCAGGCATCTTTTACTCTGTTAGCTAGCTGACTAGCCTAGTTCTAGTTAAGAAAATAAGATTAAACAGAACCAAGTTCATCAGTGCACTCAGTGTTCCATGAAGCATTTATTTAGCATAAACTTAGCATTTGCTGAGTTTAACATATTTGGAAAAATCATATATATATATATATCCCTTCCTGGATCGGGGCCTTGTTGAGGCGGAAGGGCTTGTGTGGTCTAGGGATCTTCAGAGCCAAGTCGTCGGGAGCAGTATGCTCCTGGTAGGGTCTCCCAGGGTGAACAGGTCTGGAGTGAAGACCCAGACTAACTCGATCCAAAAAATTCTCTATGAGAGATGGACACAGACAATCGTGTACGCTGCCCAGGAGAGGGTCACCGGCCTAGGGGTAGTTTCCCCCGGCGAGCGCCTGGTGGCCAGGCAGCCTACGTAACCCGGCCGGGCTCAGCCCAAAGAGGCCACGTGGAGAGGCCATGTGGGCCGACCACCTGCAAGGTCCAGCATGGGGGAGCGATGCAGTGCCGTATAGGCAGTGGGAGATTGCAGGGGGGGCCCTGGTGGCCTAGGCCCCTGCGGCAGAAACTGGCTCTTGGTACGCGGAATGTAACCTCACTGGGGGTGAAGGAGCCGGAGCTTGTGCGGGAGGTTGAGAGGTACCAACTAGATATAGTTGGGCTCACCTCCACACACGGTGTCGGCTCTGGAACCAAACTCCTTGATAGGGGTTGGTCCCTCTCCTACTCCGGGGTTGCACAGGGTGAGAGGCGCCGCGTGGGTGTGGGGATACTCACGAGTCCCCGGCTGGCAGCCGTGTAGTTGGAGTTTGTCCTGGTAGATGAGAGGGTCGCCTCAATGCGAATTAAAATAGCAGAGAGGAAAACTCTGACTGTTGTGTGTGCTTATGCACCAAACAGCAGGTCAGAGTATTCAGCCTTCTTGGAGCAAGTGGGCAGGGTTCTGGAAAGGGCCCCGCCTACAGACTCCATAGTCTTACTGGGAGACTTCAGTGCTTATGTTGGCAATGACTGGGAGACCTGGAGAGGCATGATTGGGAAGAACGGCCTGCCCAATCTGAACCCGAATGGTGAATTGTTATTGGACTTCTGTGCTAGGCATGGATTGTCCATAACGAACACCAAGTTCGAACACAAGGATGTTCATAAGTGTACATGGTACCAGAGTTCCTTGGGTCATAGGTCAATGATCGACTTTGTTGTCGTTTCATCTGACTTAAGATCATATGTTCTGGACACTCGGGTGAAGAGAGGTGCTGAGCTGTCAACTGATCACCATCTTGTGGTGAGTTGGATCAGATGGCAAGGAAGGCTGATGGTCAGACCTGGTAGACCCAAGCGAATAGTGAGGGTGTGCTGGGAATGACTGTCGGAGGCCCCTGTTCGGAAAGATTTTAACCCCCACCTCCAGGAGAGCACTTAATCCGGGAGACATGCCTCCCTCACGGGAGTCAGGGCCAGAGGCTTCTGGCGTGTCAAGCTCCATTTCCCTGGTGGAGGTCACTGAGGTAGTTGGCAAACTCTTCAGTGGCAAGGCACCGGGGGTGGATGAGATTCATCCGGAGATGCTTAAGGCTCTGGATACTGTGGGGCTGTCATGGCTGGCACACCTCTGCAATATTGCATGGACCAGGGTGGTGGTCCCTATTTTTAAGAAAGGGGATGGGAGGGTGTGTGCCAACTATTGGGGTATCACACTGCTCAGCCTCCCTGGGAAAGTCTAGGCCAAGGTGCTAGAAAGGAGACTTCGACCGATAGTTGAACCTCGGATTGAGGAGGAACAATGCGGATTCCATCCCGGCCGTGGAACAATGGACCAGCTTTTCACCCTCTCACGGACTGTTGAGGGGGCATGGGAATTTGCCAACTCAGTCTACATGTGTTTTGTGGATTTGGAGAAGGCTTACGACCGTGTTAGTATGGGGTGCCGGGGTTACTACTCCGGGCCATTCAATCTCTGTACTCCCAGAGTGAGAGCTGTGTTCGTATACTCGGCATAAAGTCAGACTCTTTCAGTGTTAGCATTGGACTCCGCCAGGGTTGTGCCCTGTCTCCACTCCTGTTCGTGATATTCATGGACAGGGTATCAAGGCGTAGCCGTGGTCAGGAGGGCATTATGTGTGGAGGCTGGAGGGTGGCGTCCCTGCTATTTGCAGACGATGTTGTTCTTTTGGCTGGATCACATGGATGCCTCCAGCGCGCACTGGAGCAGTTTACAGCTGAGTGTGAAGCGGTTGGTATGCGGATCAGCACCTCCAAGTCTGAGTCCATGGTCTTAGCCCGGAAAAGGATGGCATGCCCACTCCAGGTAAGGGGGAAGGACTTGCCCCAGATGGAGGAGTTTAAGTATCTCAGAGTCTTGTTCACGAGTGATGGGAAGAGGGATGGTGAGATCGATCGCAGGCTGGGACAGGCGGCAGCAGTAATGCGGTCGCTGCACCGGACTGTAGTGGTGAAGAGGGAGCTGAGCCGTAAGGCAAAGCTCTCTGTTTACCAGTCGGTCTACATCCCGACCCTCACTTATGGTCATGAGCTATGGGTAATGACCAAAAGAAAGAGATCGCGAATACAAGTGGCGTAAATTAGCTTTCTTCGCAGGGTGGCGGGCTACACTCTATTTGATAGGGTGAGGAGCTCGGCCATCCAGGAGGAGCTCGGAGTAGAGCCGCTACTCCTCCACATTGAGAGGAGCCAGCTGAGGTGGTTCAGGCATCTGATCTGGATGCCCCCTGGACGCCTCCCGGTGGGGGTGTACCAGGCACGGCCTACCGGGACAAGACCCCAGGGTCGTCCTAGGATGCACTGGAGGGATTATATCTCCAGGTTGGCCTGGGAGCAGCTTGGGGTCCCTGGGAATGAGCTGGAGGAAGTTGCGGGGGACAGGGTCGTCTGGGATTCTCTGCTCTCCCAACTGCTAACGCGACCCTAGCTGGACTAAGCGGTTAACGATGATGATGATGATGATGATATATATATTTTTCCCCCAATATGTTAAGCTCAAATAACAAATTGCAAATAAATAGATTTTATTTTTTGGAAATTAGCTGAAAAAAATCATAATTAAGTGTGTTCTCTGTAGAGGACATGTTAGCAAATCTACAAAGCATGTGATTTCACCAGGGGTGTTCAGACTTTTGCATACAACTGTATGTATAATACATATTTCTGTGTTTGTTCGTGTGTGTGTGTGTGTGTGTTACCCGCTTCTCGTGTGGTTTGGTAGTTTGGATCAAGCCGTTGGTGTTTTTGTATTCGAGTGGGACGTGTTTGGTGCTGATGTGTGAGTCTGTGGATTGGCAGAAGGTGTCAATAGTCTGGCTGACCACTTTAGCATTCACGTAGCCTCTCTTCCCCTCCGGCAAAATCTTTGACAGAAAGAATAACTTCATTTTGTCCGTGACTTTCTTCAGCGTGTTATACCTGTAAGAAAAGTACACATTGTTTGTATGTCTTTGTATGTCTTTGTTGTGCAAAGTAACAAAATATATCTGCTTTGTTAGTATATTTAATTAGCTAATTAAATGACCTTGTTAGGTAGCTACAGTTGTTTTTTGCAACTATAACTTCAACCTGACTTTGGAATAAAATAATAAAACTTTGCCTGATGTTGAGCCTAAACCCAAATAGGCTGTTTGTGCTTTTTTAACCAATTCGACTTACATTTTTTTACCCCTAAGAATAAAGGGGGGTGTCATTCCACTTATATAATGCTTATGGCTCTACCTCTTATTCCACCACAGTCAGTATTCAATGTTTTTGGATAGCAGCACTTTAGCAATTACTTGTGATTCCATCACAATAGCCTAGCAACACCTTAGCAACCACCTGTTATTCCATAGAAAGAGCCTAGCAACACCTTAACAACCACCTGTGTTACCACAGAAATAGCCTAGCAACACCTTAGTAACTACTTGGTGTTCCATATAAAGAGCCTAACAACACCTTAGCAACCACCTGGGATACCACAGAAATAGCCTAGCAACACTTTAGCAACCACCTGTTATTCCATAGAAAGAGCCAAGTAACACCTTAGCAACCACTTGGGTAACCACAGAAATAGCCTAGCAACACTTTAGCAACCACCTCTTATTCCATAGAAAGAGCCCAATAACACCTTTGTAACCACTTGGTGTTCCATAGAAAACGTCTAAAAATACCAACCACCTGGCATACCATAGCAGTAGCCTAGCAACATCTTAGCAACCACCTGGGATACCACAGAAGTAGCCTAGCAATACCTTAGAAACCATTTGGTGTTCCATAGAAAGAGCCTAGCAACACCTTAGCAACCACCTGGGATACCACAGAAGTAGCATAGCAATACTTTAGAAACCATTTGGTGTTCCACAGAAATAGTCTAGGGTCACCTTAACAACCACCTGTTATTTCATAGAAAGAGTCTAGCAACACCTTAGTAACCACCTGGGTAATCACAGAAATAGCCTAGCAACACCTTACAACCCTTAACAACCACCTGGGATACCTTGGCAATGGCCAAGCAACACCTTAGCAACCACCTGGTATACCGTAGAAATAGCCTAGTGACACCATAACAACCACCTAACAACCACCAAGCAACAACCACCAAGCAACACCTAACAACCACCTTAACAACAAGCTAAAATACCATAGCAACTACCTAAAATTACTACATAAACCCAATTAAATCATCAAAAACAATCAACAGTGCTCTGTAACTGCTTGAACTAAATAATTGTTATTAGCTGGCTTTGTCAAGCCTACTTAAACTTAAGTTCTTGTTCTTCATTAGATAAAGCCCAAGTTAGACACTTCCAACTGATTTATTCTCACCTAATACATTTATTTTATTAATTAATTTATTTTTATTCATTTACACTTTATTTCACCTGTATTAGTATTTTATAAACATGCTAAACATCACAGAAGAGTGAAAAGCCCAATTCCATTCAAGTCTGTTTCCTAGAATCAGATCTCATAAATGGACCAGCCTAAATAAGTGTCTGAAATTCCAATAAATAATGTAAAGAATATTTCTTGTTTTCGTGCCCCACAAAAGTTACAATGCGAACTACATCTTTGACCTCAAGAGTGTGTATCTGCACATCTAAGTAACTGCAGGCATGTGTGTCTCTATGCCTGTCTGTGTCTGTATACATGATTATGTCATATTTCAGTGTGTGATATTTCACCTTTTCCCCACAGCATTGTAGGCCAAGGAGTGGATCGTCCTGCATTCTACATTTTTGGGAAACCAGCGTCTCGCCTTCTTTGCTACAGCATTGTTGAAGGTAACATACAGAAGGCGAAGATTTGGTCTCTGTTGGGAAAACTTGATCAGCACGTTGGTCTTACCTGTGCCTGAAACAAACACATGATGGTCATTTTAGCACTGAACACAAACTCTACCTGTCAAACTACTGCAAAAAGATTATTTAACCCCCAAAACTACAACCTATTATTCAGTTATTAATCTGTTCACCAACTAATATAAATCACTCAGTATGTACTATACATTAATTAGTAACTACTAGAAATGATCCAGTCAACTGCTATACATGTAAGAATTATGAATAATTCTGTATCTTCTATCAAATATTCAGTAAGGGTTATGAAGCATTCGGTATGTACCATACCTGCAAAAGCCTCAACTTTGACCACATGACTTGGCTGCATGTTGTGGTTAATAATACATTGCTGCTCATGAGTCATCTGGAGCTGCTTTTCTCCAGTACTAAAGACACACACACACACATACACACACACACACACACACACACACACACACACACACACACACACACACATACTCAGAATCAGGAATAGTTTGGAAAACCGTTACCAGTAAACACAGTTCTTGTTTCCCATGAACACTCAAAGAGCCATTTGAATGTTTAAATGGTTCTTTGCATGGTGAAATCCATCAGGCTTTTCAGATTGATGGAGAATATGTTGTATATGGTTCAATATAGCACGAAAAAGGTTCTGCTATATGTACAACATCAAGCATGAAATAGTAAAAGAACCCTTTTTCGGTGCCCTATAGAACCATTTTCAAAAAAGTTCTATAGAGGACCATATACAACACATTCTCCATCAGTCTGAAGAACTGTTACACAATGCAAAGAACCATTTAAGCATGCAAATGGTTCTCTGAGTGTTCATGGTTCTATATAGAACCACTGTCTTTACTAAAGAACCCTTGAAGAACCATTTTGTTTAAGAGTGTAAGGTAATGTAACACAGTGGGAAACATGCCCCATCCCAACTTTTATGGAACATGTTGCATGCTTCAAATTTAAAATACACCTACGCTGTATACAAAACAGAGCGTTTCGCATCAGACCACTCTGAATGACTTTGTTTACATCTTAACCATTTAATTATGCAGAAATTTGGAAAAATCGGTGGAATTTCCCCTGAAAGGCCTGGCACAGCCATTTCTGATAGGAAAATTGATGGTCTTTAGTTGAGATAGACACAAAGCTATCATTGAACCAGTTAACCCCCCTGACATGTCAGACTTATTACACACTAAGGCTTATTATTCAGTAATTACAGGGTCTTCAATGCAAACTGGCAGAGCTGTTCTTATAGAAAGATTATAGAAGTATAATAAAGCTTTAGGCCATTGGCCTGTTAAGTGGTTAACCCTTTTGTTGCCATATGAAGGCTGAAGCAGAGAGTTGATAGCAGGTTTTACAGTGATCTGGCTGTGTGTTTGTGCTGTATTTCTGGGTTGTGGGATGTTAGAGCTGGTTTCTCTCACTCTGGCTACTGATGGCCGGTTCCTCTGAGTGATCTGATGTGAATCACGTCACTATTTTTAACCCTTTGTTTATAATATAAAGGCTAAAAGCAGAGATGTAATAACAGTAGCGGGTGGGTTTGGGTGATTTTGGAGCTGATCTCTGACTGATGGACGGTCACAGGTGGATGAAATCACCCTGGATGGTGAGGCAGAGTCTGATGAGTGATCTGATTATGAATCTCGCTGTTTTAACCCTTTGTTGGAATATGAAGACCAAACAGCAGAGCAATAATATCAGGATTTTGGGTGATTTTCTGAGCCAAATTACTCACTGATGCTGATGTCACAGCTCAGTTTAGTTAGGGGTGGGTCTGCTGAATGTCCTGATATGAGAATCATGTAGCTTAAGCTGTTCTGAGGTTATGAAGGCTAGACTTTAACCCTTACATCACTTCCAGGACTTGAAGGAATTTTAAGATGAATTTATAAATAAGTGACGATAACAGTCTGATTTACCATTCTGACAGAGGAGGTAAATTTATTCTTCAGCTGCCTAAACATAGGTTTAATATGTTTAACTAAGACACAATAAGCTAGCCATGCTATTGTCTGTCAATAAGCTTTCAAAAAAGCTTTTCATTTTTTCAAAGATGTTGTAATTAATCCAAAATGCTCCACTTTTGTTTCTTTCTATGGGTGAAAATGTCCAAGTTAGTGCACAGTGAGACAAGATGGGTACAGACAAAACCTACTTAATACTACTATTGTTTTAGTTCAGCATGAGAGCATGTATGTGGCTGTATCTTAAATGGCTCTTTAGCCCCTATATACTGTGCTTTATAGGTAATTAAACTGTGGCTTCTACATGCAAATAGTGCACTTAATGCACTGCAATGTCAAGTAAAATTATCTTGAATCTAGTTGACATATCCAGTATTTCTCTTGTTGAGATCGTTGTAAGCTTATTTTATGATTATTTAACTTATTTCCAAATATTTTTACTTGTTTTAAGTAATTCTATTAAGTAAAATTATCTCACTTTGGCAGATAATTTTGCTTGTTTTAAGAAATGTGTGTGAAACACACTAAATTATCTGCCAGTATAGTGGGATAATTTTACTAATAAAATTATTTAAAACAGGTATAAAATGTCTAGAAATAAACTAAATAATCCTATAATAAGTGCACAACCATCTCAAAACAAGAAATATTAGATAAATCAACTATATTTCCCTTGACAAGATACTACTTTTTGCAGTGTGTTAGGTAGGATGTTGTGCAGTTTGGCTGAAAACAAATATCTTTTATTTATACATGCACTATTTGTATGCAGAAGCCGTTATCTATGTAGTGCGCACTACATAGTGTGTAGGAAGCCATTTGAGATTGAGTGTGTACTTTGCCCAGCTTTGTTTATGCTATTGTCATTGTTACAGGGAAGAGTGCAAAATACACATTACACTATTAACTACTGTTAACTACTCTGTAGTTCAACTACAGCTGTAAAATGCTTACACATACATGGTACATATTGGGTGGTGCTGGCTGGTTAAAAGTAATGTACTCATTTAATTAAATATGCATACATGTATGGTGCAAATCAGGCAGGCGATGCAGATTGGTTATGTTCACAGCAGCAGCAGTTTCTGTGTGGTACTTACCCTCTGCTACCTTCTACAGGAGGAGCTGTGTTCTCCATTTGAAACAACACATAGAACACATTATAGTGAAGCCTGGACAAACAGAGAGAGGGAAAGAGAGAGAGAGAGAGAGAGAGAGAGAGAGAGAGAGAGAGAGAGAGAGAGAGATGTGCATTATAAAGGCTTATTCTAACATTAGGTCAGTGCCCCTGACCCAAGGCATTAAAGCAACAGCCCAGTCAAAAAGACAAATTTACTCAAATTGCTGCATAGCATAATGTTATCAATAAACATGGACAAAACTATACTTTATAGTTAAAAACAGTAGCATATTGAAGTAGGGAAGGCATAGACTAGTTGCATGAATCCACTAGTTGGTGCTGTGGGCAGGATTTGAAGGGTTGAGAACTGTGCCTGAAACACAGTGGTGGTAAAAATGGCAGTGAACAGGCAGGAAAACAGAACAGAAATCAGGTTTTCTGCTACACACAGAGAATAAAGTATTTTATTAGTGAGGAAATATTACAATTGGCCCTTTCCACATTTCCACATTGTTTGTGCTGGAAGTTGTTGCACGGTAACGCTGCTTCCACTAAAGCAACTACAATAACAACAATGATGAGCAGAGCGTGTACAGCTTGCTAAAGTGTTCGAGCTTGAAGCAAAAAACAGCCTCATCTCAGTTTTAGGGGTTTGTCAGCTGACGATGAGCAGAGGAAAATGAGATGTGCAAATAAGAAAGGAATAAATTTGTTTTACTTCCGTTTCTTGCGAAAAAAGCCTATAGTGTGGAGCTGTGGTAAAATATAGGCTCATATGCAAAGGACCATTTTGCTACCTTGCTACCTGTGGATTCAAACAATTCAGGAATACTGTTTTAAAACAAGATATCACAAACGTTTCCTGGTTCAGCGTATCTCACTGTGAAATGCTCATTGGTGAGTAGAGATGCAACTGCATTTAGCTTGATAAACCTTCACTTGTTTCCCATCAGAGAGGGACCAGAGCCCATGAGCGGAGAGAAAAGAAGGCTTGAGCAACAAACGGCTCCAAGCCATACAAAAGTGTCCACAAAGAGCCAACAGGTGATACATAAAGTCTGCCTTCCTCTCATAATCACAGAGGAAGTCATTTTTGTTGTCCGATTGTCTTTTATTTCACTTTTCTAGTTCAGCATTTGTTTGATCTGCTTTCAGCGTCAGGCGCAGCGGTAACTCCTTGGACCACCAATCAGTACATCAGCGGTTTGAGCCTGGCTCTGAGCTACCTCGACTACAACGTGCACAATCACCCAATTCACACTCCGTTACCTCAACCCCAATAAATTCATTTAAAACCCCTTCTCACTTGTTTTATATTAGTTGGTTTATATATTTATACTGTACTATGTTGTCATTGTTGAACATTATAAAATAAAAAACAGAATATTACCCTTCTCACAGGTTTTCCTCTCTGCACTTGGATCTGCCTCCCTGCTGCCCTGTAACACATTGTGTCTGACCTGCTGCTGATCCTGATGCCGGTGTGTGTCATGGCAAGCAGCAGTGTGGAGAGAGCCCAGAGGAGTTCAGAGAGATTAGTGTGAGACAAAGGACAGGAGGAGCTCTCCAGATGGAAAACCAGCGCTTCCACATCCTCCACACCATCAGCCAGCAGCAGCATCAGCACCACCAGCCCCACCCACTTATACTCAGCCTGCAATCAAAAAAAATCAATTTTATAAATTACACAATTATTCCTATTTGTAGGTTTGTTGTGTCGGTGTGTCTTGTGAAAGTTTTAATCTCATGAAGTGTGTGTTTGTGTGCACCATTAGCATTCAGTAGCTCAAGAGTTCATAATAATAATAATAACAATAACAATAATAATAATAATAATAATAATAACACCCTATAATATCCCATAAAAACTCAGTTATATCCCCTTAGCATTCAGTAGCCCAAATATGTGTGAACATGTCTGTTCATAATAATAATAATATCACCCCATTATATCTCATTGTAAAAATACAACGAGGCAACTGCACTGTCATTAGCTGATCTGTGGTTTAGAGTTCATCCTGAGTTTAAACTTGAACTTGAGTCACATGCAGGGCCGCCGGAACCACGGCAACCACAGCAAGCTTTTGACCCATCACTTTTCAAAGCACTGTGGCAATGACCCCCTAATTTTTAAATTTGGGACGCAGACATAAAAACCTCAGCTTTCCCTAAACTGCATGAAGCGCTGACCAGCACGAACAGGCAGAGTAAAACTCCAACGCCAATCAGAATCTCCATTTTAGCTGGGTGGCGCTTTCAGACCTGCCTTGGTTTGTGCAGACTGGTCGAAATTTTTCTTTTGTTCAAATTTGACATGTGACTCCACCCGAATTCAGATCCACACCAAACAACTGAACTGCACTAATTCACAGGGAAATTCAACACCAGAGTCTGCACAATCTGCTGCTTTAACATTTTTTACAAATGCTCATATCGTTCCTGCACTGCAAGCTGCTGTAAATAATGAGAGACAAGCAATGAAATAATGATATGCGTTAGATTTTGTTAGCATGCTAAAATTTTCTGCTTTCATGGTGGTGAATGTTAGAGTAACAGAGCACTCGCATCCCTGCAAAACTTCTGAACAATAAACAAACACACACACACACACATACACACATCATCTAAACTGCTTATTCTTCTGGGTTGCGGGGGGTGCTGTAGCCCATCCCAGCTGCCACTGGGCGGAAGGCAGGATACACCCCGGACAGGTCGCCAGCCCATCGCAGGGCAGACAGACAGACATACACATTCACACACTCACACCTAGGGGCAATTTAGCATGTCCAATTAGCCTGACTGCATGTCCTTGGACTGTGGGAGGAAACCGGAGAAAACCCACGCTGACACGGGGAGAACACGCCACACAAACCGGACCCTGGTCGCCCGGCCGGGAATCGAACCCAGGCCCTTCTTGCTGTGAGGCGACAGCGCTACCCACTGTGCACACAATATCACAAAAAAAAAACAAAAAGTGGTGCATCTTTAAAAAATAAACTGATCTGAGACTGCAGCTACTGAAGCAGCATCAAAACTAACACTGACACTGTTCATGCTCAGCTTAGGAGCCTGGTAGAGAAGTCTAAATCAATATTCAAGTAAAAGTATTGATACTTGCTGTGTTACGTTTGGTCTGAAATAACATTGTTATTGTGTACTAAAAGTATAAATGTAGGGTGAAAATTTTAACATTTTGAGCATTAATACCCCATAATACCCCACCATAACACAATGTAATATGCCATTACCATACTGTAACTCAAGTGTGTAAATGTGTGTGTTGGTGTACCTTAATGGAATTCAGTAGCTGTGTAGTCCTCATGCAGTCCTTCGCCTGGTCATACAGCCTGTGTCCCCTCACAAACCGAGATATCTCACCCTCACATGCTTCAAACTTCGGTGACAGGAACCTGCAACACAAGCACAAACTGTTAGTTTGGTCAAAGCTGGAAGTCCAGATTTCCTTCTTTTAAAATATAATGTATAAAACATAAAATGAAAGGTTGTGGGCAGAATATCAGAATCAGAGTCACTTTACTTCGCCAAGTACCCATACAAGGAAGTCTTGGTTTTTCACATGTGTATGACATTAACACACTGAACAGGACAGACAAACACACAGACTGTTAACGAGTATTTAGCTATGAAACAAATTGAGACAAACTGTAAAATACAACAACAATGAATGGGAGACCTTGAATGGTGAATTGTTATTGGACTTCTGTGCTAGGCATAGAATAACCAACATGTCCATATGTCCATAACCAACACCAAATTTGAACACAAGGATATTCATAAGTGTACATGGTACCAGAGCTCCTTGGGTCAAAGGTCAATGATCGACTTTGTTGTCATTTCATCTGACTTGGGAGCATATGTTCTGGACACTCGGGTGAAGACAGGTGCTGAGCTGTCAACTGATCACCATCTGGTCAAGGAAGACTGATGGTCAGACCCAGGCCATGGAAAAAGACTTTCGGCCAGCTTCAAAGAGGTTCTGGACAACTATCCACTGACTCAGGAGTGGTCAGGGTGGCTTCACCCAGGCTGTATTCGGCAGGGGTGGAGAAACTCTGACTTCAAATGAGGATATTGTCAGTCAGTGGAAGGAGTACAAGGGACTCCTTAATCCAAGAGACAAGCCTCCCTCACAGGAGTAAAGGCCAGAGGCTTCTGGCGTGTCAGGTTCCATTTCCCTGGTGGAGGTCACTGAGGTAGTTGTGAAGCTTCTCAGTGGCAAGGCACCGGGTGTGGATGAGATTCGCCCCGAGAAATGCCTAAGGCTCTGGATGTTGTGGGGCTGTCATGGCTGACACGCCTCTGCAATATTGAATGGACCTCGGGAACAGTACCCTTGGACTGGGGTGGTGGTCCCTATTTTTAAGAAAGGGGACCAGAGGGTGTCAGTCTCCCTGGGGAAATTTATGCTAAGATGCTGGAAAGGAGATAGTCGAACCGCAGATTGAGGAGGAACAATGCCCATTCTGTCCTGGCCATGGAACAATGGACCAGCTTTTTTACCCTCTCACAGATTGTTGAGGGGGCATGGGTGTTTGCCACCCCAGTCTACATGTGTTTCGTGGACTTGGAGAAGGCTTATGACCGTGTTCCCCGAGATATCTTGTGGGAGGTCCTCCAGGAGTATGGGGTGCCAGGGCTACTACTCCAGGCCATTCAATCTCTGTACTCCCAGAGTGAGAGATGTGTTCGTTCGCAGGCTGGAACAGGTGGCAGCCCAAAATGATGTCTGGTTCCACTGACTTACATTAAAAATAAAGTGTGTTTTTTTTCCTTCTCCTGTAAAGTTACCATTTTGGAGATACAAGGTTTTGTTCCGACAGCAATGATGTACAGAATACTCTAGAATGATATTAATATATGCCGAAATGTGTTGTGTAAGTAAGAATTATGCTACAGGATAGGATGCTCTTTTATACCCAATCATGTTACAGATCTGTTGCCAATTAACCCCATTGGTTGAGATGTTCAAGCCCAAACCTAATCTTGCTGCAAAGATCTTGAAGAACTGCAGAGGCAATACAAAATACAGTCATTATACACCCCAACCAAGAGGGCACTTTTACAGTCTGAGATCAAAGGAGCCTCAACCAGCTACACCGGTGTCTATATGTGCACATGTCTGTCAGCGGAAATAAATAAGTTGCCACAGAAATCAGTCACTAAACAACAGTTCCAAGCTAACAGCAGAACTGAGAGTTGGACAATTTGTACTGACTAAGAAAATATACAAAAACAAGACAATAATTGGTTTATGCATTAAAAGATCCAAAAAGAACATCAGAATTACTGTGGTTACTTTTGCTGTACCTTTGTACCTCTACAAGCAGATAACATGTCTTTGTAAAAATAGGAATTAAATCAGACAGTGCTAAGAATTAGCTGAAAGGGTAGTGTTGCTATGTAGTTTTAATAAAATTCTAATTTGACACAGAATAAAAAAAGTCACCCAAATATCATAACTATCATGGCTTTTGTGATAGTACATCAATAAGTCAAATTTGTGCATCCAACAAATAGTATATTTTTTCACTTTGGCAGTCACTGTTTTCTTCATAAAAGGGACTGAGAATCCAAATTGATTAGTGCAATTTGGAAAGAAAATTTTAGAAACCTGCAACAGTCATATACAGGTATGACCCATCAGTCTAATGAGTGGGCTTGTTGGTGTTCGTTTGAGAATGTTTTGGCTTGAATGAAAGGGGCTTTAATGTCCCAAACATCTTAAGTTCTTTAAAGTTTGTATTTGCCACATGTAATAAAAAGCTGTGGGAGATTACCTGATTAAGTTAATCACACACTGTTTATTCTCTTTGGTGATGTTATTTTCAAACAGGTAATGCTGCACCTGCTGCTTAGCATCTATATCTCCCTGCTGGTAATTATAGTAGAGCTTCCTCCAGGGCAGAAACTGCAAAAGAAAAAAAAAAGTGACCATTAGGAACACAAATCCACCAGGACAACTCTGATGTCCTGTGAGAGTCTTGACCTGCAAGAGTCTTTATCTGGAGTCTTGACATGCAAGAATCTTTATCTAGAGTCTTGACCTGCAAGCATCTTTACCTAGAGTCTTGACCTACAAGAGTCTTTATCTGGAGTCTTGACCTGCAAGCATCTTTACCTAGAGTCTTGACCTGCAAGAGTCTTTATCTGGAGTCTTGACCTGCAAGCATCTTTACTTAGAGTCTTGACCTGCAAGTGTCTTTATCTGGAGTCTTGACCTACAAGAGTCTTTATCTGGAGTCTTGACCTGCAAGTGTCTTTATCTGGAGTCTTGACCTGCAAGTGTCTTTATCTGGAGTCTTGACCTACAAGAGTCTTTATCGGGAGTCTTGACCTGCAAGAGTCTTTATCTGGAGTCTTGACCTACAAGAGTCTTTATCTGGAGTCTTGACCTGCAAGCATCTTTACCTAGAGTCTTGACCTGCAAGTGTCTTTATCTGGAGTCTTGACCTGCAAGTGTCTTTATCTGGAGTCTTGACCTGCAAGAGTCTTTATCTGGAGTCTTGACCTACAAGAGTCTTTACCTAGAGTCTTGACCTACAAGAGTCTTTATCTGGAGTCTTGACCTGCAAGAGTCTTTATCTGGAGTCTTGACCTGCAAGCATTTTTATCTAGAGTCTTGACCTGCAAGAGTCTTTATCTAGAGTCTTGATCTACAAGAGTCTTTATCTGGAGTCTTGACCTACAAGAGTCTTTATCTTGAGTTTTGACCTGCCAAACTCTTTATCTGGAGTCCTGACTGGCGAGAACCTTAATCTGAAAGATTTTTTATCTTGATTCTTCACCCTTGAGAGTCTTAATCTGTATGATTCTTTATCTAGAGTCTTTACCTGAAAAAGCCTTAACTGTGTAAGATTCTTTATTTGGAGTCTTTACCTGTGAGAGTGTTAATCTGTAACGCTCCTGATCTGGACTCTTTATCTGTAAAAAACCTTACTCTGGAAGATTCATAAGTCTTAATCTGTGAGAGTCTTTACCTCTGGGTTTGATATGATCTCTCTCCAGGAGCGGCAGACACATTTGACATGGAGACACAGCTGCTGTATGGGCAGGTAGGAAAACACAGCCTGCAGCAGGTGAGATGGAAGGTCTTGGATGTTCACTTGTGATGGGTATGAGGTGTTTGGGAGCTTTGCCTCTGTCTTCAATGGCACCTGATCCTGTCTCAAACTCAAAGGCCTGTAGTATTCAGTGATCTTCGCTTGGTTATTGTCTGTCCCTGTGTCTGTGTGAGTGTGTTAGAGAAATTAAACCAAAACACACATATGATTGTAATAGTAATAATAAAGAGTATTAAATTCCATTCAATAATGGTTCTGCAAATAGGTTAGGGCAAGAGAGAGAAGGCTGCACAAATGTAGAGGCCATGGCCTTCATCAAACAAAGAAAGGTGTATTTCAGCTTTTTGCCAACAGATGACAATCATTCAAGTTGCCTACACAGCTGATTAACAAACACACCCACAATGGGTGTTTGAGAAAAAAAAGAGACCCCCAAAAACAGGAAAAGAACGAAACACTACAAATTATCAGGTGTAACACACAATTCTACGAGGTTTAAAGGATAAGCCCCAAATCTACTTCGTCATTCAACCTTTTAAGCAATGCTTTTCCGCAGCCCCACCCCACAAAAGCTAAAGGCTATGTTCAGACTGCCAGCTAAAATCAGATTTTTGGCATATCCAGATTGTATGCAGATTGAATTTTGATAGTTTGAACAGGCAAAAACACCATGAAATCTAATTTGTGCCAATCAGATCCAAATCACACTCAGAGGTGGTTTGAAATGCTATTCCAATCAGATTTTTACAAACACTTCTCAGTCCGGACGCTCACATCAAAGATTTCAAAGTGTCTTTTGCGTCACTCACAACACGATAGACAATGACAATGTCAAATCATTTTGAATGTTCTGCCTATAAGACCCTTTCACGGTAAACTAACACATTACAACACAGTTATTATGTTTCAACATAATTTAGCTTTACTAATCTGATATCTGACACAGATTAAAAGCCCAACTTCTGCCAGAAAATAAAAGCTTAAAAAAAGCAAACTGCTTGCTGCCATGTAGTTGTTTCTATGGCCATGGTAACACCCTGTCAATCACTATGTACTCTGATATGCCTACACAGTCCTGGTCAAGCAGAGAAGTTGAGTGAATCTGTGGCTTTCAAATTATGATTTAAGGTTTATTTTTTCAATTCTGTGGTATTATAGAGATTTAATTTGACAGCCCCATTAAAGTAATCCTGAGGAAGCTGCTGCTCTTACCTGTCCTCCTTCTTTTAGCAGGAGTCTTTGGACTCTTACTTTGATTGATGTTTGCTGAGAAAATAAAAGAAATAATCAATAATTACCATTATTTAAAACACTCAAACTTGTAAAGCTAACATTTGCATACATTACATACTCCACTGGTGCACTCACTCACACACAGTGAAATTATCTTATGTAGATATTTATTAAAACATCCTTGTGCTTTCAGTTTGCACCAACTAATGAGCCCATGTAAGTCTGACTAAACAGAAACCCTAAAGCTAAGATGAGTCATATGACTCTGGTCACAGAGAAGGAATACCAGTAAGCTTTATGAATCACCAACATTTTTGGAAACCACACCAATTCCTCCCAAATTTAATACATACCTAACACGGGTCTGTACATAAACACTTAGAAATAAAGGTTCTGTGCAGGTAAAAAATTTTTTCAACAAGTCCACAGTGTAGTTCTTCAGCTGAAAGATGAAAGTGAAAGTTAACAGTGAGCTGCTCCTGCAGGCCCAAGCTGGATGACTCAGCTGCTCTTTGTTTTTTTTGGCGCCATACAACTGCAGGCTTTTTAAGTCCAAAGGAAAGTTTAATTCTGATTATAAAATTTGTTCACTCAGCCAAAAATTAGTATGAATAATTTCTTGTTCTTTTAATGAAAAAAATAACACCAACAATAACAAGAACAGCAATGATGGAAAATGTGTCATTCAGTGCTCGACAATGCTCGTTAGCAGTAGCAGTCATTTTATTCAAAAAATTCTATGAAGCAAAGCAAAATAATAGTTTTCATCAACAAAAGCAATGTTGACTAACTGACACACATTTCATTTATGTAATGATTTACAGTGATAATGACAGTGGTTGCAACAGAACAGTTGCTGCATTATTTTGAGCTCACTGTTTTCAATAAAATATATATAAAAATGCTGCAGGTAAAATTATTAAATGATTTTATTATGATGCTACTAGCCTGCAACATCACAGATTTCAACTAATTAGAAGGAAGTTGTAAGAAAGTAGGAAATGTTAGATGTGTCCAGAATTATGAACAGAGCTGCAGACGATTTCTAAATTCACTGAAGAGCTGTATATCATCCAGAATGAAGTTCTGATAAAATTAACATTCAGAATGAAGTTCTGATAAAATTTACACCCAGAATGAAGTTCTAAAAAAGCTTTATAATTTAATTACTATAAACAGATACTTACAGTATATTATTTGTCATTATATAAATTTTGACGTTGCTAAAAACACTTGAAATATTGAATAAAACATTTTTAAAAACATGCTGGACTAAAGCATATAGCTTTTCAACCTGCACCATATAAAAGTATGTGAATTCTAAGATTTTTTATTATGGCAAGTGTCTACAACCTACATCCCTCAATGCATTTTTCCACAAAGTGCACTGTCAAGCTCTGTCAAATCAAGATTTAGAAAACAACACACCAGCCGACCTACAGAGAATAAGAATGGATAAGTAGAGAAGAAGTGTGGCTAAAAGTAGATAAATGTGGATAAAAGGAATTAAAATTCTCTTACCTTTCCGCTTTGGCGCCATTATCAAACCGCTCTGTGTGCTGGCACATTTAAACAAAGCTTCTGGAACTCTCTCACAGAAAGAAGGTGTGACTTGGCACGCTGTTTATAACCGATCATGTCAGCATGTCATGACGCACTGAGCTCCCATAGGGATAGATAGAGAGAGATAGGAAGGGAGAAACAGAGCGAAAGGAAGGCGAAAGAGAGACAAATGAAGGCCAAAAGACAGAGAAAGGAAGGCGAAGGAGAGAGAGAGGAAGCGCAAAAGAGAGAGAGAAAGAAAGGAAGGCAAAAGAGACAGAGGTAAAAGAAAGATAGAGACAGAGATAGAAGGGAGAAACAACGAAAAGAAGGTGAAAGATAGAGAGAGGAAGGGTGGAAGAGAGAGAAAGGAAGGGTGAAAGAGAAACAAAGGCATAGCTGTAACTAGCTGTGAGGTCAAGACTTCGACCGTTTCAGAAAGTTTTTTTCATCTCCATTTCTGGGATTTGAGGTGGAAACAGCAGCATGCTTATAACGCTTTAGTGTACACAGGTTTAACACAGGCGGTCTTTTTAAGCCTCTGCCTTCCCAAACTGATCACAATCTTATGAAGATAGAGTATTATTTCTGATCTCATCTGTAGTTCTGAGATTTTCAGCATGTATTTTCAGCTACTTAAATAAATATTAAATTTATTAAAGACATAAAATTCAACAGTGTAACTGGAATCAAATCAGTGTATGGAACAGTAGTAGCAGTTAATGGAAGAACAAAGGGATGAATAAGAAAAATGAGAAGAAAAGGTGCATATCAAAGATAAAAAAGAGGAAGGGATAAAAAGAGAGAAAAGAGCAGAAAATGTGAGAAAGGAAAGGAGAAAAGGAGAAAGGAAGAGATGAAAGAGTAAAAGGGAAAAGGAGAAAAAGGAAGGGAGAAAAGAGAAAGGGGTGGAGAAAAAAGGGAAAGGAAGGGATAAAAAAAGAGAAACAGAAGAAGAGAAAAGAGGACAAAGGAACAAAGAAAAGAAAGAAAGGAGAAGATAAAATAAGAGAAAGAAACAGAGAAAAACAAAGTATGAGAGAAAAGGAGAGAAAAGAAAGGAGAAAAGAGAGAAAAGAAGGGATTAAAAAAAAGAGAAAAGACTGACAGGAGGAGATAGAAGAGAAGTCTCTTCTATGCAAGATGGCAGCGCACTGTATGGCTCCTGTTAGGGACGTGCGTTTTATGTTAAATGTACTCTCTATTCTGACACAGTCGAATGCAAGGTTAGTCTATAGTCACAGTATTCTGTTCAGACTTTGTGCATCCGACTCATCCAGCAGTTTAACCAGCGGTTTACTGGCTTTGGGACCCAAAACACTCCACGAACTGGGGATTCTACACTGGCAAAACCCAGAGGCCTGCACAGCAGCGGTCTCACCTACCATCACTGACCGCCGGAGAAAGCAACATAAGTGGTGCGAGAGACCACTCAAACGTGGCACTCGAGCTGGTGTTAGCGCTAGGCTAAAAGCTAACCCCCACAAACCTGAGCTTCCATCGATTCTGCTGTCTCATGTCCACTTGCTGGAAAACAAAATGGACTATTTAAGACTGGATTTAACCACCCAACGCAAGGTGAGAGACTGTTGTGCCATTATCTTTTCCGAGACATGGCTTGATTCCAGCATTCCCTATAGTGCCACTAGAATGGATGGGCTAACAAAGTTCTGTGCACTCTAAGTAGTAAATCTCGGAGAGAGGGTGTATGTGTTTACATCATGCACAGTCATCAGCATTACAGCTATTTACGTTCCCCCCAGTGCTAGCACAAAAGATGCACTATTGACACTGTACCAGTCTGTCAGCAAGATGCAAAATGCCAACCCAGACTGTGTTTATATCATCGCTGGAGATTTTAATCAGGCCAATCTGTGGTCAGTACTACCAAATTGCTACCAACATGTGGACTTTACAACCAGGGGAGAAATCACGCTAGATCGGGTTTACACAAACATCAAACAGGCATTCAGGGCGGCCCCCCACCCCCACCTCGGAAACTCAGACCATCTCTCTGTTATGCTAATTCCAGCAAACAGGCCACTGCTAACCAGAAGCAAGCCATCTGTGGCTTAGAGGACCTGGCCAGAGGGAGCAGTTTCAGCACATCAGGACTGTTTTGAATGCACTGACTGGAATGTGTTCAGAGAGGCTGCCACTGTCGACCAACACATCAGTCTGGGGGTGTCATCAAGAATATCACCACACGTGCCAACCAGAAACCCCAGGTTACTAGAGAGGTACATGTGCTTCTGAGAGCACGTAATGCTGCCTTCAGGTCTGGGAACAAGGACACTGTTAAATATACTAGAACCAACTTGAACAGGAGCATGAGAGCAGCAAAGTGTGCTTATGGTCAGAAAATCCAGAGTCACTGACTCCAAAGACCCCAGGCACTTGTGGCAAGGTATCCAGTCCATCACAGATTACAGGTCCCCCCCCCACCACCCTGCGATGACGACACTGACTTCCTCAACACACTCAATACTTACTTCAGCCAGTTTGAGGAAAATAACACTACCACAGTAATGAAAGCCACTCTCAGTCTGGACGACAATATTCTGTCTCGACCCAGTTGATGTCCGGAGGACCCTACACAGGGTCAACCCATGGAAAGCTGCACAACATACCAGGGTGTGTACTCAGGGAATGTGCTGACCAACTAATGCATGTCCTCACAGACATCTGTAAGACCTCCCTGAGCCAGACCATTATTCCCTCGTGCTTCAAGGCCACCACTGTCACACCACTGCCAAAGAAGTCACCGGCATCAACACTCAATGACTACCACCTTATAGCACTCACTCCCATCATGATGAAGTGCTCTGAAAAGCTGGTCAGAAATCACATAACATCCAGACATTTCGACAATGCTCAACCCACTCCAGTTTGCATACCACCCTAACCGCTCCACTGATGATGCCATATCAGTAGCACCTCACCTGAGTCTGACCCATCTGGAGAAAAAGAACAGCCATGTGCAGATGCCCCTCATTGACTTTAGCTCCGCCTTCAATACAGTCATCCCCATGCACTTGGTAAGGAAACTTGGCCCATTAGGTATCGACCACCCACTGCGCAACTGGTTACTGGACTTCCTCACAGACAGACCCCAGACAGTACGAATTGGAAGAAACACCTCTAAAACCATCATCATGAACACTGGAGTTCCCCAGGGCTGTGTGCTGAGCCCTCTGTTGTTCACACTGATGACTCATGACTGCTGTGCCAAGTACAACTCGAACCACATTATTAACTTCGCAGATGATACAACAGTGGTGGGCCTCATTAGCAACAATGATGACTCAGCCTACAGAGAGGATGTGAACCAACTTGCCGTCTGGTGTGACAAGAACAACCTATTATTGAATGTTGACAATACAATGGAAATTATTGTCGACTTCAGGAGGAAGCACATGGTACATACTCCACTTACAATCCACGGTAACGCTGTGGAGTCAGTGAGAAGCACCAAGTTTTTGGGTGTGCACGTCATGGACGACCTGACATGGACTACACACTCCACCTCCCTTGTCAAGAGGGCACAGCAGCGCCTTCACTTCCTACGATGGATGAGAAGAGCAAACGTCCCCCCCACCTATCCTCCCAACTTTTTACAGAGGCACTATAGAGAACATCTTGACCAGCAGATGTCCCAGTGTGGTATGGCAGCTGCACCGCCTCAGACCGGAAGTCTCTCCAGAGAGTGGTGAGGATGGCAGAGAACCCCACAGAACCCCACTTCCATTCATACAAGATCTCTACCTGTCACGCTGCCTCAGCAGAGCCACCAAGACCTGTCCTCACTTTATCACTATTCACCAGTGTCAAGTTTACACTTGCTGTTACACTGTGCAATAATACTATTACTGAGAATAATGTGCAATATTTTTTCTGTACAATGTGCAGTATTTCTTATAAATATGTATATATTAATTTATCTTTTTTCCATATATATATGTTTTATGTCTGTCTATGCTGTCTAGTATGTCTATGTGCCGCTGCCTTATGTTATATTTATGTATATTTTGCACATCAGAGTATGCATTAATATGCAGTCTCATTCAGCTGTGCACTCCTCATTGTGTAGTCTGAATGACAATAAAGTTCACTTTGACTTTGACTTTAAAAAAGAGAGAGGAAGGAATATAAAAGAGATAAAGGAGAAGAGAAAAGAATGGCTGGAGGGGAGAAAAGAGAAAGGAAAGGAGAAAAGAGGAAAAAGGGATATATGAGAAACAGGAGAAAAGAAAAGAAGAGAAATGATTGGAGAAAAAGAGAAAGTGGACAAAAAGAAAATGGAGAAAAGAGTTAATGTTAGTGTAGATGGGTTACTGTTCATGTTAGCGCAGATGTGTTAGTGTTAGTGTAGATGAGTTTGGGTTAGTGTAGATTTTTTAGTGTTTATGTTAGTGTAGATGTGTTAGTGTAGATGTGTTAGTGTTAGTGTAGACGTATTAGTGTTAGTGTAGATGTTTTAGTGTTAGTGTAGACGTGTTAGTGTTTGTGTAGATGTTTTAGTTTTAGTGTAGACATATTTGTGTTAGTGTAGATGTTTTAGTATTAGTGTAGACGTATTAGTGTTAGTGTAGATGTTTTAGTGTTAGTGTAGATGTTTTAGTGTTAGTGTAGATGTGTTAGTGTTTGTGTAGATGTTTTAGTGTTAGTGTAGATGTGTTAGTGTTTGTGTAGATGTTTTAGTGTTAGTGTAGATGTTTTAGTGTTAGTGTAGACGTATTAGTGTTAGTGTAGATGTTTTAGTGTTAGTGTAGACGTATTTGTGTTAGTGTAGATGTTTTAGTGTTAGTGTAGATGTTTTAGTGTTAGTGTAGATGTGTTAGTGTTTGTGTAGATGTTTTAGTGTTAGTGTAGATGTTTTAGTGTTAGTGTAGGTGTGTTAGTGTTTGTGTAGATGTTTTAGTGTTAGTGTAGATGTTTGTGTTAGTGTAGATGTGTTAGTGTTTGTGTAGATGTTTTAGTGTTAGTGTAGACGTGTTAGTGTAGATGTGTTAGTGTTAGTGTAGATGTTTTAGTGTTAGTGTAGATGT